AATGGACCCCTATTGTGGCCTTGTGGCCTTGTGGCTTATAGAATTACCGTATTCCCCCATTACCGACACTTTTTTACTGATTCTACCGGTAAGCATCTTACCACCAACACAATATCTGGTTAATTGAAACATTTCGCATATAACTACCTGGTTTAATGCTACCGTATTATATCACGGAATGTTTATTGTCGTCGTAGTCGTTGTTACGCCCTCACCGCTTATACCGTACTAGCTAGCCGTTGGTTCCGACAAGTATCGATGAATCCGTTCGGCCATTCCCACGCAGGCACGTTGTCACAAGAAGGGCTTAGCAAGCAAGCAGGCAAAGCAGGGTTGGTGAAGATAAGTCGTTGACTTTGAACCTTGTCTTGATATGTGATGACTCAGAAATATGTGCATGCATCCATCCATACATCCATGCAATAGGCGCGAAACTAAGAGGAGAAAAAGAGTAACATTCGAGCGGGTAGATCAGGGTAGATCGTCATCGTGTTTACTGCTGAAGCTGCCAGGGCGCCTTGGAGTGGCGGCGGCTCTGCGGCAAAAGGGTTTGCTATGTAATGAAAGAGGAATGTTACTTTGAATGGTTTCTTATCCATCCAGTATCTACCAGAAGAAAAAAAATCATGATAGAATCGACGACTACTTGGGGTCAGGGATAGGGATGGCGTAGATCTTATGCCTTATCGTCCGACCATGTGGCATTCCAGCAGGAAACGATCGGCTCGCCACATGTAGAGTGCAGTATCTTTGTACACACTTACACCATATCTCTATACTATTGTCTTCCGGCGATTCTTATTGGTTGCTTGTAATTTCTATGTATGTATATAGAAGGCTACCAAGGAGATCGTTTTTACATAAAGTCCTGTACATACACTACAAGCTACCCCTCCCCTTGCTATTGGATGATGAGATGAATTGGAGCCAACAGACAAGGGTATCGGGCCTATGGATACTACATACATACGTATAGATGTTTGCATTCATCAGAAGAACAATAGAAAAGTGGAAGAGTTTGGAGAAAAGTAGATATATTGTAAATGCGCTGTACTCCGCTCTTTGACTGTCTTCGCATGCTACTCTGTGGCGCGGTCATGGTGACACAGTCGTCATCAAGCAGTTATAAGAAAGGAAATTGGGAACAGGATTTTCTTGGCTTCAAGGGAGGTGGCTTTCACATGCATTAGTTGAAGAATATGATCACTACACACATCACCAATAGCCCTTCTTATCTCATTAACACCAATATCAGGACCAGACCAGTCAAAAGCGTACGTACGAAATGACTAACTACCTGCTGCTACCTAACCATTGGATATTCGATAGAATATCACAAAGGGGAGACATGCAACGGGGAGGGATATCAGCCCCCCCGGCCCCGCACCATCTACATACCACATAACACATGCCACATGATAACGCGGTCCAGCTTCAATCATTAGACTAGCAATTAGAATAACTAAAGTATTGTGCATATAATCATGCTTCATATGATAGGTTAATGACGGTGACGGGAACTCTACGGGTTCCTTACGTCTCGGATATGGCCTGCCGCACGAATTCCGCGTTTGCAGATACCATCTTCCTGCGGGACGTCACCGTGCATGATACATGATATGGTGGCATATTACAGCTTTGACAGTCCAACTGAAATAGGATAGATAGCCAGATCTAATGGAGATTAGGGTTTTGGCGTCTTCTTAGCCGTCGTCTTCAGTACGATCCAAGCATAGGTCCGAGGTCTTTTTTTGGCTCTACTCTTACATATATATATGTCCAAAGCACGATGTTAAGCCCCTCATGTGACAGTTAGATAATATTACTTAGCTGCCCATGTGAGCATGGGTAGATGCAACATGTCGCCTAGTAGGGCAATCCAAACTACTGGGCTCGAGTCGTTAAACAATGATAGGCTTCTTTACTCGTAACGTTTCGTTCCACTCGAGCTAACCGATTTCTGATAGATGACTAGGTACGCTGGGACAATGCTGGTTGATAGCTTTTTGACAAGTAACAAAACCCACAAGTACCAAGAAACAGACAGGCAGACAGGCAGACAGATCAGAGAATATTAGTAGAATCTTAGCCTCGAGCGGTCAGATCTTAGCTGCTTGTAGTAATCCGCACAAGTCGATTATCTTTCAACATCCAAGGTTAGAATGGTGCACTAATGACAAGGTACAATCATATGCCTGTCTTCTCACCATGGATTCCCTGTTTTGGATAATAATAATACTAAATCGATCCTCGATCCTCGATCCTTGTGGATTACCTTCCCCAAAGATCTACATACACTATTGCAGGCTGAGGGTGGATTCGGATTGTAAGTAAGAACGTCGGAAGGGCCTATCAAGTGCTTAAACCGAGCCCGACGGCCGCTACCTGGACCGGAGACAGGGGGAAGTCGGGGCTACACTAGAATGCGGGTCCGGGGGAGGAGTAGAATATGGATATCGACATGAGCATCGGTGGATATTACTATGATGATCAGTTTGTCTATTTAGAGCCTTTTACATCTAGTCACCCTTTTACTATCGACATAGTGTTGATAGTAGTGTACAGGTCCTAATAGATACCTCTGTATATTTGTTAGTTAACCGTTTGATAGGAGTCAAGATACTAACGCGAGATAGAGGATGACGGGAATCTTTCCCTGTATATCATCATCTAGCGCTTTCGTACTTACTCGATACACTACGAAGGACGTCAGGCGTATGGATGTAGTGTATTCTCTCACAAATAGACCCTTACATACATAGAGACCTAATCTATGAAAGAGATGCCTGTGAACATAGCATATAAACATGAACATGACCATGACCATAACCATGCTGCCATCAAATGTAGGCCGCGTCTACATGGCCTAGAGATGGATGATTGTTAACATAGGTAACTAGTCGGAAATGTGAGATGTTCCTTTCCGTTATAACCGCCGTCGTAGCACCGTTCACAGGCTGATTGACCCGTCGCTTACCTTATGCAGGCATCCCGTAGTCCCAGGGGAGCCGTGTACGTATATCGACTATATCAAATCTAGTGGCTGATGGATGGCTAATGGGTTGTGCCAATGGATCTCCAGGGGAATCTATAGTCTTAAAATGGTAGAATGGGGGGTACCTAGAATGGAGGGCACAGACTGTGAACTGCTATGTACGTCCCTTGATTGAGGGGTAAAGAGAAAAAAGGGGGGAGGGGGAGGAGAAGGGGGGGTGTTCGGCCAAAGGGTGGCTAATGCTGCCGAGAGGGGATCAGGGGTTAAAACCGCCGAACAGGCACAAGAATAATCCCAAGCATTGCATAAAACATATTTATGAGCCCCACTAATGTATCCACTTATACAGCTGCGCTTGACGTCAGTGTTTCTACGGCTATCCGACTTCTATTCTTCTCTAACCGCTTGACAACATCCCTAAAACACCTTCACGCCTTTGTCACAAGCCATCAATCACGATCCAATCAGTTCATCTTATGCGTTGCACCTGGACAATCATACATAGACAGTGTCTATAATTACTGTGGATATCTATATCCTTCTTTAACCGCGATGTCGTACCAGATTTATATAATTCAGTGGAGAGATACTTGTAGACGCGCTTTCAGATGCAGAAGATATTAAGATCGCCTAGAGAACCATTGCAACATTCAAGCATCCAGAAGCCTGGCTTCTCGGTCCGATCTATCAAATATCCTTGCATCGTGCATCTCTTGGGTACGGCCTCCTCCGGGTTATGTAACGGAAGAAAGCAACGCAACACGGCGGCTTCTGACGGATTGATACGTCGTTGTAGACTTCAGCCATATTCATGGCGTGTCGTGTTCGACCAACCCAACGTCGATGAAAGGAATACGGTGCTCTCGCTTGCTTTCGCTTGAGGCCTGGATGATCTATATTACGGCCCGAGTAATAGCACCGCAGCCGTCCTTTTCCATCAACTTCGAGTGAAGAAGTGAAGAGTCGGCTTACACGCGTCTCAAGCTCTAAACCAGGTTGGTCGCTCGCCTGCCTACTCGGGCTATCTATGTACAGAAGTCGTTGGGGTTCTCGGTTGGCCTTATGTAACCCGATATATCCAGCCTGGTGCTATTTGGGGCTACATACATGCATCTCCAGTAATTATCCCGATGACAGCCCGCAAGGCGGGCTGACGGGTTCTCGAGGTCGGAGAATATTACAAAGTAACACCATATTCTGTCTGGCTGGCTCCAGTAGAAGTGGGCAATCTCTAGAAGCATCACCAAAGGCACGATTACATCTTCGTACAGTATGCAAACTAGCCCCCGGCGCTGGAAGCCGGGTAGATAACACTGCTAAGCGCGGTGTCCAACGTCACAGATCATATCCCTTTTCGGAATCAGCGTCATCTATACCTGGCGAGGCTAACGTCTTTGGTCCTGCACACCACGAAGACTTGTCGGATTGCTCCATGCTTTCCAAGCTATGACGGGGGTCTGGCCTTGCCAGGTTCGGCAGTCCAAGCGAAGGACAAAGGAGAGAAGAAAGACCCTGATTTTCGATCCTTGTAAAGTTAGTAACCGGTTCTATCATCTCATTCGCGAATTCATATTCTACATACCATATGCCTGCGATCGTAAGTACAGTATACTTATGCCAGCAAGCCAGTATACTCGTACTTCGCCTCCCTACATACGAACCTATGTAAGGTATGTAGACCTCATGTTACGGATCGGTAACGCCAGACACACACAAGGCTGACGTTGGCAAGTAGTGATACAACGCCTCGAATCTAATAGGTTAGATTTTGTCGTTCAGATGCCAAAATACCCAAGTACATCATTTTCCATTGGCTTTCCGCGCTCGGCGACTCAAATCTCACCGTGTATATATGTGCTGAGTATATACTATATACGTACCTGGCGAGTCGATAACCGAGCCGTTCGCCTTCTACTGTAGCTTGTATACATTCGTTACCGCGTATACACTAAGTCAGCAGTATACAAGTACTATACCCTGTCTCCCTGTATAGTACCCTGGCCGGCTAGTATAAGGCCGGATCCACACAGCAAACACGCCCCCATCCACACTTTATTATGGTACATGTAAACTAGTACGTAGGGAGCCACACATCACACATCATTGTACATGTTAAGGAGTCGTTGACGGGTATACGTCCCTGCTGCTTTGTCGATGTTATCAAATGACGGTATGTATTTACTCTTACCTCACTCTTCTCGATGCTGGGTCGTTTATGTAAAGATATATATATCCCCTTACCCAGCTTCTCAAAAATGGATCTGATATTTCCTCCTTAACCCAAACCATTAGCTACTCAAAAGGATCTCGAGTGTCCTTCGTCTTGAAGAGTAAAATCTGCAAGACATCCAACAGAATAATCAACAATAACAATAACAACAACAACAGCAACCGCCTTGGCTGGTCCTTTTTAAGCCCACAGTTACTTATTTGCTTTTATATCGCGTGTAGAGTTCGATCATTACATTTTCTCTTCTTCAACCTCTTATTTCACCATGTCTTTGGAACCGCAACAGCCAACCTTCCACCGCGGCAGCTTTGCCGATGAGATCGAGACTGCTCGAACCGATCTTGCCCGTAAGCTGCTCGTCGGTTCCCCGGCTACCAGTCCGTCCGACTCGGAGACGGCCCCGTCGCTGAGCCCGGCCGCCAGCGCCACTTCTTCCACCCCGGAGTCGGACGCGGCCATCTCTCCCATCTCTCCCCCCGTCGACGAAGAACTCGTTGCCGACAGCTTTGCCTTCGCCTTCGACATCGACGGCGTCCTAGTCCGAGGTGGTCGTCCCATCCCCGAAGCCGTCCAGGCTATGAAAGTCCTGAACGGCAATAACAAGTATGGAATCAAGATGTAAGTACCGCTTTGACCCTGCAGCAGAAACATCAAAAAAAACATCGATATAAAAGTTGGACGGTTTATACTAACTATAGCAGTCCGTATATCTTTTTGACCAACGGCGGCGGTAAGACCGAGGCTGAGCGATGCGGCGATCTCTCCAGCCAGTTAGACATTGAGATCTCCCCGGCTCAGTTCATCTGCGGGCACACGCCTATGTCCGAAATGGCCAACAAGTACAATACAGTCTTGGTCGTGGGCGGCGAAGGCGAGAAGTGCCGTACCGTCGCTCAAGGCTACGGGTTTAAGGACGTCGTCACCCCCGGCGACATCATCAAGGCCGATGCTGCCACGACGCCGTTCCGCAAACTGACACCTGAGGAACTTCGAAATTCGAAGGAGCGCGACTTTAGCAAGGTTACTATTGAAGCCATCTTCGTCTTTGCCGATTCGCGTGATTGGGCGGGAGACCTGCAGATCATCCTAGACCTGGCCATGTCCAAGGGTGGCCGCATCGGAACTCTATCCGAGACCTTTGACGAGGGCCCACCGATCTTCTTCTCTCACAACGACGTGGTTTGGTCCGCCGCACACGACAACGTCCGCCTCGGCATGGGCGCCTTGCGGGGTATCGTAGAATACACGTTCAAGGAGGTCACCAAGGGTAAGACATTGGAGACTCACGCCTTCGGCAAGCCTCAGATCGGAACATTTGAGTTTGCCACACGCCTACTAAAGCGATGGCGCATGAATCAGCATCGCCTGAACAAGCCCCCGGAGACTGTCTACTTCGTCGGCGACACTCCCGAGAGCGATATTCGAGGAACCAACCAATACAACGAGAAGGCCGAGAACGACTGGTACAGCATTTTGGTTAAGACTGGTGTCTACCAGGACGGCACCGAGCCGGCCTACAAGCCTCGCGTCACCGTGAATACAGTTTTAGATGCTGTGAACCACGGAATTGAGCGCGAGATGGAGCGCAGGAAGAAGAATCAGACGCAGAAGCCGCGTCTTTCCGATATGCCCAAGCTGAGCTTGGAAGAAGCTCAGGACTGTGCCGTATTCAGCCCTGCTGAGGAGCGCCCTCTTGAGCTTACTGCATGATGTTACGAATGTCACGAACCGGGTTTACTTTTTAGAGGCAACATATTTATGATACCATTGTCTATTATTTTAACTGTCGTCCTCTGTTTTATCATTTTATTTTATCACTATTCACTCTTTGCGCATGGAATCATGTTGTAGAAAGGGGCATTCGTTCGGGTATCGCTAGGGATATCAAATTATGATCAGACGGGATCAATGTCTATCTGAATATCGTTGGACATATTATGCATTAGGTGGCGTTATTGATATAAAACTGATAGATAATATCATGTTCTCTTAATGAAGCATTTTACAACTTCACTACTATTTTGTAGCTCAACTGTGCGATGTGACATATACGGTAAGACGGTTTCTATCTTTATTATGTCTACTGCTTCGGCATTTTAATCCGGCAAATTCTTGGCTTTGGGGAGAAGAATGCTTCTAGTGTTGCATTGATGAGTCTCTGGGATATCTCAGCTCTTACTACTGCTTTGCTAATAAGCCGGTAACACGTAACCATTACTCCAGTACCAATCATAATTACGCAGACCTTCAGTATATCGTCTTCCGACCCTACTTCTTGAGCCTCAAATCAACATTTAATCAACCTGAACTCCCGGATCAGCCCACATTTCGATCTTATTGTTCTTGTACGTTCCAATATGTCGTATTTGCCACCGTGATCTGCCACGTTTCCACATAAGCCGTCTTGCTATCCACTCACTCTTCTCGGCACCTTCGATTATGTACGCAAATACGTACGTGTGTTTGGAATGGGTACGTGTTTGCCTAACTACCAGCCTGAGTACCTACTGTTAATGGTTGGATGCATGCGGGCAAGGCGAATACGCACGGTATCATTAGGGTTAGGACAGAGGGCGAGAATGGGAGCAGGGGCCCGGATTCCCGATGATGGTGGATAGATGGGTGGATGGATGGATGGATGTGTATATCGATCCCGACCGATCAGCAGGTGGGGTTTTACCATCATCAGAGTTGTCAAAGGGTATCTCGTCACTGTAGATTAACGAATAAACCTCCGTCAACCAGTAGCTGCGAACCAGTCACATAACCGCTCAGCTCGTCGGAGGCGAGGAAGACGGCCGGCCCCGCCATATCGCGCGGGTCGCCGGTGCGTCCCAGCGGAATACGACCCTCCATATAAGCGCGCTTCGCATCATCGGCCAGATCCTCGTCGTTGAGCTGCGTCCGAATCGTACCCGGAAGCAGCGCATTGCACCGGATGCCGTGTGAACCCAACGCCACCGCGCAGCTCTGCATCAACGATAACACCCCGGCTTTCGTCGGCGTGTAGTGCGTCTGCTGTCCGCCGCCTACCAACGCCGAGATGGAACTTAATCCGATGATGGATCCGCGTTGCGGTTTTCTCCACGAAGAAGAGGACGAGGGTAACGGGTCTTGAGACGCCATCTGTCGCGCCGCAGCTTGCACGACGTAGAATGCGCCGTCGAGATTTGTGCGCACCGTCCGCGACCACAGGTCCCCGGTTAAAGTCAGGAATTCTGCGAATTGGCAGATTCCCGCATTGCTCACGCATATGTCCAAGCGGCCGAAGCGTGAGACGGCGTGAGCTACGAGCGCGGGTCCTGTAGCTGGATCCGAGACGTCGCCGGCGAGATGGTCGAGCGTACCTATTGTTGTGTTGGGGTCGGTGTTGGAGGTCTTGAGAGATTCGGCTTCGGCGAGTAGCGATTCAAGATGAGGCTGGTCGCGCTCAAGGCCTAGATGGTTCACTACCACGTTGGACCCCTGACGCAGATATTCGAGGGCAATGGCTCGGCCGATACCCGTGGTGCCCCCCGTTATGATGGCGGTTTTGCCCCGCAGCAGATTTGTAGCCGGCATATTATTATTGTACGTGTTTCGTGTATATTGTGTATATTGTATTTTCAGTAGGGGATTTGATGTGTTGGTACGACGAATTGGAAGGTAAAGAAGTTCGCTCGATCAAGGTTCGAGCTGCGATACGACTTTCTTTCTCGGAAACATTCGAAATATGCTTGTAGATGAGGAGAGCTTTTAGGGTTCTAAGTATGGCGGGGTATAGGGGTAAATAGCTAGTCTTGGCATGTGATGAGGATTGGTATATCTTAACCTAGTCGTTGTTGTATATTGTCTAGGTATACTGTAAGTGAGGTATAAGTCATAAAGAGAGAATGGGAATGTAATAGTTAGTTTGTCAAGTTGAATGTTTACTTGAAACCAATCTTATTTTCTCTTCCTCACTATGTATACCTTAACTATCAATTATTGATATCGTGTAAATATCCAAGCTACATATAGGCACCTAACGAATAACCATAATCACACATATCCAAGTTACTACTACAGACTATAGTAACCTGGTTAGTCCAAGTTCATGGCGTCTCGAGCTGTATGTAGACCCCGGTTGCGTTGCGATCAGCACTTGACCCCACGATCTCGGTGTAATGCGTAGCGAGATTTCGTCTGGGTTTTAGACCTAAAAAGACGCAGGCGGCCCGCCTCGGCATTCTCCAAGAGATAGGTATCGAAAGTGCAGGTCTCCTTACCTAGTTCTCATTTTACACGTGGAATTTTTATCATGACGTTTTATCTTAGAAGTGCAGTTGTTTCTTTTCTACTATTACCTGTAAGCTCCCGTAATACATCGCAGCTCGTGTGTTTCGTGCTTCATTCCAGCTCGTCCTCACTTTGGCATTAGTGGAAATATATGTATCCATCGCGGGGGGATACCACCTTATATCCTAGATGCTTCACTTATATGGAATGCTAACCTATAACACATCCTTTTATACGTCTACGTATGTAGGTTGTATGGGCTTGCAGTATATTATCGTCCTCGTGACTTGTGCTGATACCATGTCTATTCGATGAGAGCTCGAGATGAGCTACGTTAGTCATCGTCGGGCGATTGGAGACCGATCTACATCTAGACTAGGACGACAAGTCCTCTCATGAAACGTAATGCATGTGTAAGTGCGAGCTAGACCCATATACCATCCCATGTATGTAGAGAACCAACAACTGGGACGAATGGGGACGAACGGGGACGATTGGTAACGAGCTAGAACGCTTCCAAGGCTATCCCGGCCACCCCGCTGCCTACGGACCTACTCGGTCTTTGGGGTATCGCCTTCGAAAACCCAGGGGACGTCGCTGTTCGGGAAGCCGAGCTTGACGCTACTATAATTTGCTCTAGAAATATTTAATATTCTGGCCGCGACGCTTGTGGATGTGCTTCTCTGGCGCTGCTACTCTACTTTCTCCTCCCTTCTCCCTTGCCTCTCTCCCCCTCCCCGTCTTTATATTACGACGCTCCCGTAACGAACCACAGACCGGTGGTAAATTTAGCAGTTAGCAGGAAGTAAAACTACGAAACAACTTGTCCCAAGGTGATAGAGTCCCAAGATGGCTTCGGTGAGACAATTTCCCACCATCAAAGCCATCAGGTCGTATGTGATTGGCGGCGTTGGCTCAGGTATGCAAGCTACCCTATATACTGAGACGGCGATGTGCGGGGATGACCAGTCAGACGGTAACTAACTTACTATAGGTGGTGACTATCACAACGTTAAGGGTGGCCATTGGTGAGTAGCTGAGCTGACATTTCTTACGAGAGAACCTTAAGACAGCGAGACTAATATCAGCACTTACTGTAGGCTGATCGACACGGACATCTCAACGCCGTGCTCCATATGGGACAAGTATAAGAAATCACGAACAAGTTGGGGCATCAACGTCCTCGGGTCGTTCCTTATCGAGATCGAGGCTACCGATGGCACGGTAGGCTTCGCGACGGGCTTTGGCGGTACGAACTCCTATTTCGTTGTGTGGATTATTACAATTACCTATTGGAACATAGTAAGAGGCATATACTAATGGACATCTTCTACACATAGGCCCGCCAGCTTGCTGGATCGTTCACAAACACTTCGAGCGCTTCCTGATCGGTGCCGACCCTAGAAATACCAACCTGCTGTTCGAACAGATGTATCGAGCTTCTATGTTTTACGGCCGTAAGGGACTACCGATAGCTATCATCTCTGTTATCGACCTCGCCCTTTGGGACTTGCTCGGCAAGCTGAGGAACGAACCCGTATACAGGCTCATCGGTGGCGCGGCGCGGGAGCGGATAGACTTTTATTGTACGGGGCCGGAGCCGACTGCTGCAAAGACGATGGGTTTCTGGGGAGCTAAAGTTCCTCTTCCATTTTGCCCAGCCGACGGCCACGAGGGTCTGAGGAAGAATATAGAGTTCCTCCGCAAGCATCGCGAGAGTGTGGGACCAGACTTCCCCATAATGGTCGATTGCTACATGAGCTTGAACGTGTCGTATACTATCGAGATCGCCGAGAAGTGTAAAGACTTGGACATCAACTGGTGGGAGGAATGCTTGTCCCCCGACGATACCGACGGTTTCGAGCAGATCAAGAGGGCGCATCCTACGCTCAAGTTCACGACGGGAGAACACGAATATTCGAGGTACGGATTCCGTAAGCTGATCGAGGGGCGTAATCTGGACATCATCCAACCCGACGTCATGTGGCTCGGTGGCATGACAGAGCTTCTCAAGGTCTCTGCTATGGCTGCCGCCTACGACATTCCCGTCGTGCCTCACGCGAGCGGACCTTATAGCTACCACTTCGTCATCTCTCAACCTAATACTCCCTTCCAAGAGTACTTGGCCAACTCTCCCGACGGAAAGAGTGTTTTACCGGTCTTCGGCGATCTCTTCGTCGACGAACCTATTCCGACCAAAGGTTTCCTGACCGCGGCCGACCTCGACAAGCCTGGCTTTGGTCTTACCTTGAACCCCGCCGTTAGATCCAAACTGATCCCGTCGGACTATCTATTAAGTCCGCCACCAGCGAGTGTATTGCAGACCGCAACAGGGCTGCCCGGCTCGACACCTGCCCAGAACGCGGAGGCGGAACCTACCGAGAAGAAGACTAGCATCGTAGATCATCTGACCGAGGGCATAAAGAACATGGCTACGAGCGCCTAGAAAAGAAAAGGCACGAATTCGAACGACCAAAATACCCATACTCATACCTTAGGTACCCAAGTGAATGCTAGGCGCAGGAAAACACAAGAAATAGGAGGGTGAGGGAAGCATGAAATGAAATACCGGCAGTTAAACATATGCTGAAAACCCGGCGAATACTGCCGATATTGGAACGGAATCCCACGGAGGCTTATCCGCCTAATGTAGTAATGGTCGGCTTGCATGTAATGGCTGCTGGGTCGGGACTTGCACGTTAGGAAGGTATCTTGGATAGGAGTGTTCGCGTTCAATACATGCCATATAACTAGGTATATATATGTAAAACTTAGCATGAATTATACTTGTTTAGGTACCTAATAAAGAAAATAAATTCGATCTAGGTAAAATGCTGACTCGAGCTTGAAGTAAAGACGATATCGTACCGGAAATATTCGTAAGATTTTCTATGAGATTTCACAGAGTCGCAGATTACAAACGACGACAGGCCTCAGGGGACTACATACATACATAGGCACATACGTGTGATGGAGGGAACATCCCTGTAAATAGCCAAGAAATGCCCCGGCCGAGATCATTGGTCTCCGCATCTGAACTTCATCCACTCTCTATGCAAACACCCCTTCCCTTCTTGGTCTCCCCAACTTTTCCCTCCAGGCTTCTGGGCTTGACATCTCAGCCAGTCCCATCCACTGATTTCCCCCGCAAATGTTGGCAAAGATCCTCTCAAGGTATGTATGAAGCTAGGAAAATTGGAAAATGTGATACGAAACTATCTCATTAGGTACGGGCATTTATATCCTCGACTTGCCAATATTAAGAATGCCAGTATCTAATTATAACTACCCGTCTAAGTCTCCAAAGTCTCTTAGTTGATAAGTTTGTATTCTGTAATAATACTCTTAGAAATTGTCAGTAATTCTCGTCGTTCGGTCTTCTTCGGATGCCCATCATCGACCGATCTCTCTTCTTCTGTGTCCTATGGCTCTATTGCAGTTAATACTAGACCGCCTGTTATATTGTGTCTACCTGACTAGGTACCTGTCAGGTATTACAAAAGATACAAAAGCTACAAGAGATTGATACCCCATGAACGAGTCCATTCAGGGTTTAGTACTCTGATATTTCGTAATTAGCACCCACGAGCCTCTAGAATTTTATCTTAGCGTAACTATTACTTTTCGAATCATTTTTTTCACTCTTTTTCCTCCCCCCCCATAATCCACAATTCCCCCAAGACCTAAAATAGGTACCTAAGAGAGCATTAAAAAAAAGGAAGAAAAAAAAAAGATTCGAGACCCCCCAGCCGAGGCACAACTAGCTCGGCCAGCCCCCTTCCACTTAATACACGTCTCTCCTCTACTCAACATTACCCCGAAGTCGAGAGTTAGCTCGCGATGCTGTCGCCCACAAAGCCCGAGTCGCAGAGGTCCAAAGTTTGTAATTGATACCGAGACATGATGCAAGCTGCTCAATCTCAGAACGGAGCCGTATCCGGACCCCAGCAGCAGAACCACGTGTCGCTACACAGCAAACAGGAACCCGACAGCGACGACGGTAATAACGCCCTGCAGAGCGGGGACGAGAATGATCAAGACGATGACCACGACAGTTCCGGCGCTGTGCGTAACGGGAAACGCAAGAGACCAATTTCCGTCTCGTGAGTTGTATTTTTTTTCTTTCTTATCCAATGAATTTCAAGCTACTGTTCTTATATTATTATCCTACAGTATTTATTCAGTATGATCTATTCTCTATTCTTTATTCTCCAATTGTCTTGGCCTTGGCCCGTCGACGTTTTTTTTATCCATCTGATATCCCTCATCTCCTCATCTCATCTCCTCATCTCCGCATTCAGATTCAGATTATCGCCCCCGAACCCTTTTCCCGTATCAGCTTATTACTGCATATCGACTGGTCTTATTTATTTATATCGTCTTATTCATCGTTTCACTTCAAAGGAAACGCGCTAACATCCAGATGCTAAATTGAAGTTGTGAAACTTGCAAACAAAGAAAGGTTTGTCTTAATCACCTTCACCTTCGCTTTCGCCTTCACATAAAGTTACTGCCCGACATTTCCCACCTGGTGAATCTAGAAGTATATACTTACTCTTTTAAAGGTAAAATGCGATCGTGGACAACCGTCATGTGGTTGGTGCAGGCGAAATTCTGTCTTTTGCGAATATCGCGAACGCAAGAAGCCTGGTTTAAGAGCTGGTTACGGCCGGGAGCTGGAGCAGAGGCTCGATAAACTTGAGGAGATACTGAGATCCCATTCCGAGATCTTGCAGACGTCCTTTATCAACCACGCTCACCACAATATTGCCCCGAGCGTGCGCAACAGCAACCCAAGCCTACCGAGCGATCATGGCACGCCACGTGAGCCAGCGTCGCTGTTTCGGCCTGGCGAATCTATCAGGACTCCCCAAGCTGAGACTGCATTGTTTTTGCAAAAGCCTTCCACGTTCCCTACGACGTCGCAGCATGTCGACTTTGGCTTACCTCCTCCGACCCCGTCAATTCACTCTGTGCATGATGGCTTCCAATCGCAGATGCCTATGGCTGGCATCTCCCCCTCTAATCAGCTAGGACCTGGCCTTCAACCGGGTCCCACGGCCCAGGAATATTACGGACAGTCGCAACAACAACCCGTTCGATCCCCCGGCATGAGCGTGACACAAGGTCAGACGCAGATATCGTCAGATCAGGATCTTCCACCATACGATCTCCTGTACGCGTTAGTAGATTTATACTTTAAACATATTAATACCTGGTGCCCTATTTTACACAGGAAATCTACCTTGGATTCATTATTCGGACCCTCAACACTGGATGATACCGACAAGGTACTGTTACACGCTATTGTCGCTGCTACTCTAAGGTACTCGACAGACGCCCGACTCACGGAAGAAAAAAGGCGGCATTACCACGACGTCTCGAAACAGAGGGTTCTCCTCTACGGCATGGAAAACTCGTCGGTCAAGGCGCTACAGGCTCTGGTCATCCTGGCGCTCGACTTGTGCGGTAGCAGCAACGGTCCTCCAGGCTGGAACATCATGGCTTTAATTACTCGCTCTGTCGTGCAGATAGGTCTAGCTGTCGAGAGCAACTCGCTCTCCGTATCACCAAGCTATGCCTCGATATATACCTTGAGAGCGATGGTTTTGCCAGAGCCAAAAGATTTCATCGAGGAAGAGTCAAGGCGGCGATTATTCTGGATGATATACCTCCTGGACCGGTACGCTACAATCGCCACTGCCTTCGATTTCGCTCTGAACGATAAGGAAATCGACCGGACGCTTCCCTGCCGGGATGATCTGTGGATCAAGAATCAAAAGGTGGAAACAAGGTGGTTCCGCACTCAAGATCGTCCCCCGGACCTCCCGGAGCATGAACAAAACAAACCGGAAAATCTGGGTGCCTTTTCATACTACATTGAGATTCTCGGCATACTATCCAAGATTCACGAATTCCTGAAGCAACCCGTAGACATCGGCGCGCTGGGAGATGTCGAGCAGTGGCAGCTGCGATACAAGGAGCTCGATAACCTCCTCGCATCCTGGAAATTTGGTCTTCCGGGCGAATACGGCAACATGGCTAAGCTGTTTCAACCTAGCGGTAGCAAGACTCTAAACTGCGGATGGGTTATGCTGCATGCTACCTATCACACGGCCGTGATTCGATTACATTCGTCTGCTGCGTACCCGACTACCAGATCACCCATATTTACTCCGTCGTATGGTGCGAGCCAGCGTTGCCTCAGCGCCGTAGAGAATATTGCCGCTCTCGGGGAGTTCGTTGTACAAAACGGCATGCTGAATAAACTTGGCCCCCCGTTCGCCTTCACGTTATGGGTAGCTGCCCGACTCCTTCTCGTTCACGGCTCGACAGTAGAACATAAATTAGCACCACAAATCGCCTTCCTCGTCGATACACTGCGCGACATGGGTAGGTACTGGCCGGTAGCGGGGAGGTATTGTCAGCTACTCCAACGAGTCCTTGACGAGCACAGCGACAGCGAGCGTGCAGTAGGCCAGACAGGGGAACGGATCACACCGTCTTCAGTCAAGATACTTGCAGACATGAGAAGGACCGCATTCGATCTTGACTTCTTGATCAGCCGCCAGCCTCGTCACCTGGCGGGTGCTCCGAGCCGTCGACCAAGCGTGACTCCAGCGCGCACGCCGGCGCCAAACGAGCTAGAGTACTTGGACGTTTTCGACTTCTTCAACGTACCACGGTTACCGTTTAGTCACGAAGCATCTTCGGGCCCACCGAATTCTGTCGAAATGAGCTCAGAAAACGCGGCGAATAACGAAGGCGGCGGCAGCGGCGGTATGAGTAATTCAAATGGCGCCGCGAACGAATTTAACATTACAAATTTTATGGTTGATGCGAACAGCGACTGGCTCTATAAACAGCCCAACTAGTAGCGGTAGTAGCGATAGTAGCGATAGTAGTCTATGGTATAGTAAAGCTTGCTACTATACGCAGGTAATAACTATCTTGTCTTGTAATTTTTAAGAGGCGAACTGGACATTTTCACAAAAGCACATCGACAGAGACTGAATGATAAGAGAGTGAGGAACGAGGCTGTTTAGGATTTGTGTACGAACTATTAACGATGGAGAATGTGCGCTCCGAACTCCGGTGCTGCTATGCTTGAGATGTTCTAGGTCATGTTGTTAATCATGGGTGGGAAACACGAGATTTCAGAGGTAGAGGTCGAAAGGTCATCATCGGCCGAGAGCGAAGAATTTCCGCGGAAGACCCTGAAAGGCAAACGATGATGCGTGGCTTCGGCACATAAATCGACCCCTGACAGAATAAACGATGTTTCAAGCCCACTGAGAAAGACTTCTGTATGTTAGGTACAATACATATGGTTGCGGTCCGCGGGTTTCAAGGATTGGCGAGTGGGGATTATCAGTGTAAATAAGGCGAATAATCAATTGTCATATAGACCGGGATTCGTAATCTGACAGTCTGATAATACGGTAGGCTTGTTGGTAACATCTAACCTGCGATGCTGTCTACGGTAGTTATGAGGTATGCAAGTATGTTAGGTATTTTCTCGTATTTGGTTCAGCCTATTTTGGGCTTCAACTCGGCTTCGGCCGCAATCCACTCTCTCTATCTACCAAATCACCAGTTTCGTGGTAGAGTGAGCACTGGCACTGACCTCTTCGATGATTACGACGGATGAAATAATAAGTATGTCTATCTTTTTGATTCAGTAGTTAGCATCTACCTACATATCGTCCATACTGTACGTGATTTGAGTCTACCCCTATTCGAGTCGCAATACAACCAAGTGACGATAATTCAGTTCCTCATTTTGAACATGTCCTAAAGATTAAGATGAAGGGTAGCGAAGTTTATGGGATGTCGTCATCCCTTGTGCACTCGGCGCCTAAGGGACCCTGCGGGCATAAATACGAGATGATCGCCTGCCCAATTGAGATCAGCGGCGTAAAGTCCCTTAAGCCAGTTGCATGCAACGTGGTATTCGCTGCCGACAGTTGTCCCTTTTTAGACAGGCAACGCAGCCAACGCCTACTGAATACGGGAAAGTGGCTGAGTGCGAGAGTATATAGAACACAGGGTCATTTACTATGTATATAAAATAGACGACGCCGCTTGTATATATATAATTGCATCACATCGAGAAGCACATCGTGATATCTTTCGCCATTCTATAACTATAACTATCATCTTTCAACTTTCAACTCTCTACACTCGCTTAACAAGAAACCAAATACACACGTAGTTTTAATACTTAATATTCAGCTATTCGATATGCAGATCAACGCTATTCTCGCAACTCTCTTCGCGGCTACCGCCTCGGGTGCCGCTATCAAGTCGAGATACGCATCTGGGTTCACCGTATCCAACTTCACGGCCTCTTGCATTCCTCACAGCGTCTTGTGCACGTATGTCAACTTTTACCTTTCCAAATTATTACCATCGTCCATAAACTAACGCTACGCCTTAGTTACGAGTTCTATGCTATTACTGATCCGGCCTCGGCATCGCCTTCTGGTAATCCAGAGCCGGCAAAGTGCTCTCTCATGCTCCGTACGTACCATTCTTATTCGGCTTGTCTTATGCACTTCCCATCAAGTTGACGTAGGAGTCATTACTACAAGACGTAGCTAAATTTACTGAATTCTCATGAATACTAATTCTTCGTAGAGGGTCCTGACTACCTGCCGGCTGTTGGCTTGACGGGGTGCGCCGAGAAAGGGGCGTACTCGTGGGCCGTTGATAAGGTTGAGGGTGGCCTAAAGCTCAGTGTCACAACGCCCCAGGACTCCCACAGCAACTACACCGGCGTGTACGAAATAACCTCGGACCAGCTCGTCACTGAGCAGCACGGTGCTTCTATTTCTCAGAGGTACACTGGCCCGGCTGGGTTTCCCATGACCCTTGGAGCATAAGCGTGGAAGTGTGCTTTATATTAGCCAGTCTAGATGAAGTTCAGGAGACGAGAAGGGGAATTGCTAGTAATTTATTAGAGGTGTGGTAGTATAGAAGACGGTAGCGATACCTTAAAGAGATGGAAATTAGCGTATTTAAAAGGGGAGGTACTTGAAAAATTCGCGAGAGGTCGAGCCAGAAGTTTATACATAATTGTGTGGGATGTATATGAGAAGCAACATTAGATACTTGACTTTTAGCAATGCAACGATACCCAGTTCGCTATTATCTGAGAATCCAGGTCCTTTTCTTGATAAGTTACGAGTTGCTTGAGGCTTAAAACTTAAGCTGAGAGAATTGGTTGAAAGTATCTCCAAAGTCCATTTTTAGAAAGGCAGTCAGTGCATAGTCGTGACTTAATATATTCCGAGGCGAAGCTTCTCGTTAATATAAAGGCCCGTTTTTCTACACGTCTCATTTAATCATGTCCAATCTGCTATCCCTAGACTGTTGAGATGAACCGATCAGATTTCGGTAACAAGATAAGGATAGGTTTCCAAGTCCTAAACATTATTGAGCAAGCGAACATGGTATAAAAAATAAGAAAAATATAAACAGGTCCAGTATATTTCAGGTGGCCATAGGCTCCTTTAGTTAGGTTGGAGTTCCAACGAAGTTGTTTCCATGCTGCTTGGTTCTACCTCTCGAGAAGACAACGCTAGTAGAACAATTATCGGGCGAAAACTACAAGCTAAAAAACAATAGCGATTGCGGATATATAAAATTTTAACCCCTTTATCTGGAGGGGTTGCCTAGTTGTATAATCCAGTTGTGCAATTAGCGACGTTTAGGTATCCAGTCATGCCACCAAAACCAAGATATGTCCGTATGGACAGGGACGGCCTTGCTTAGGAGAGAAGTAATCAGGAGATCGAACTATGGGAGAGGTCACTCAACTAGTCATATATACCGCGGAATCGCCAGTCTCATTAAAAAATATCGGCCGGGCGAGGATGTAGAACTGCATGAATGTCTGATGCTCTTAAGGACACTGCTCTCGAACCTGATGAGCCTCATGTGTTAAATCCTACTATCGACGAGGGACGGCTTGAGCTTCTCTATGGGTAGATGGCCAATATTGTTTTGCAGCTATCTGCCCTGAAATTCCCCAGAATTGGCTCACTAGACCAAGACGAACACGGTGATGTTTCCGTGTCAGGGAGACCTCTCATTCAAAATACGAACTCACTGCTGGAGACTGGAGTTTGCGGGTGCCTCTCCAACGTTACTACTATCCCGATCCTACATACGATATTTCTAGCGACTGGCTTTGTGCGCTAACAGATATGCATCTAGCACAGCTCATATTTCAACATAACCATGCCGCCTTGGATAAATATGACGCGCAGGATAGGTACGTAGCGCGTCAGCTTTTCCGAGGGTTCGCATCAGAAGAGCGGCTTTATGTCTGGAAATTCGGATATGGGATCGTCATGTGGGGGAGGGGATTCAACTTACCTAACCCCATTTTTAAGGAATATTCAACATCGCCACCGCTTTTATACATGAGTGAAATTGCTGTTATGAGAACGGCCTTGGTTTTCATACTAAAAAACCGGTGAAGCTTCTTACTAGCCACCTATATCTCGTTATCAGTATGTTCCTAAGCTGTATAAAGTACTTCATACGTTTGATACACTGTAGTTAACACCTGTCATCCGCGCTTGCATCCGCGTCTTAAGAGTCATGACGTATGCCAGTCTCATATGCCTTGACCCAATATCTAATCACAACGTCATACTTGGCAACACCAAAGCTTTCCTATTCGATCTCGACTTGTGGGGGCCAGAACTCGTCCCGGTAAATCTAGCTTTATGATGATGCGCTGATGTCGTTGCCACGATGTATGCCGCTGGTTATAAGATTGCTACCTGGACTTGAGAGCTCGACGAAGACTGCATATCCAAGCGTCTCTCTGACAAATCACAATATTAAAGGATAATCAAAGAAGTATCGGGAAATAATGGCAGCAACACAAGGGGCGCATCTCGCCGAGAAGGTCATCGGCCATGACGGAAGTTCAATCACCGCACAAGATGTTAGCAGCTATAGTGGAGAAGCTGGTAGAGCAGAGACGATGAAGGCGTTATGCTGGATGGGTAAAAACACCGTCGAGGTTCGCGACGTGCCGAGACCAAAGATCATCGAGCCCAACGACGTAATTCTCAAAGTCACCGGTAGCACGGTCTGCGGGAGTGATCTTCACTTATACCACGGTAAGCTGCTGCAATCTGGAATTCGTATTCTTCCTCCTCACGAATTCTTCATACTGACGGGCTTTCTCAGGAATTGTCATCCAATTAAACAAAGGTGACATCCTAGGCCACGAATTCTGCGGTATCGTTGATGAGATTGGACCAGCGGTTAAGAAAGTTCAGAAGGGCAAGCGGTACGTGGCTTCGTTCCAGATCGCGTGCGGCGACTGTTTCTTCTGTAAGCAGAAGCTGTCATCTCAATGCGAGCGCACCAATTCCAATACTACCCAGCGAGCCATGTACGGCGGTCAGACTGCCGGGATATTTGGTTACTCTCACTTCACGGGTGGGTTTGCAGGCGGCCAGGCTGAATATGTTCGCGTGCCGCTCGGCGACGTAAATCTCCTCGAGATTCCCGGCGACGTACCCGATGAAAAGGCATTATACCTTAGCGACGTATTAGCAACTAGCTACAACGCAGTGCACGACACTGCTGTCTACCCCGGCGACCAGGTAGCTATATTTGGTGCCGGCCCCATCGGTCAGATGGCTGGAACCTTCGCAATCAAAGCCGGGGCCACCAAGGTCATCTTCATCGACACCGAGCGACGTCTCACTTTTGTCAAAAGCCGCTGGCCTGCAGACCACGCAGAGAATCTGGAGCTGGTCGATTATAAGAAGCTATCGTTCGGCGTAACGAATAAGCCCACTGTCGTGTCAACGTTGAAGGATCTATGCGGTGGTAGGGGCCCGGATGCGGCTATTGATGTAAGAAATATGTTTATTCCATTTCAGAATTTAGTTGCCGCGGATATGAGCTGTTAGCTGACGCCGAATTTTGTAGTGCGCCGCGGGCGAATATGCGAAGGGCTGGATGCACTGGCTCGAGATGACGTTGGGTGCGGAAACCGACACGAGCGAAATCATCAACGAAATGATAGAAGGTGTCCGAAACTTTGGTCGATGCGGAATTACTGGCGTATACGTCGGCTACGTAAGTTCCTAGCTTTTTGACCCTTTCGTAATACTATTCGTCTTGGTGATTTAACATACTAACAACCTTAGACCAACCATTTTAATATCGGATCTCTTATGGAAAGGGGTATTCGACTCATCGGCAACGGCCAAGCACCGGTGCACAAGTACTGGGAGGATTTACTCAAGATGATCCAGGACGGTGATCTGAACCCTCTTCAGATGGTATCTCACCGCGTTCGCCTAGAGGACTTGGATAAAGTGTATTCAAAGTTTGAGAAGCACGAGGACAACATGCAGAAGGTATTTGTCGAGACTAAATTCTCGCCACCAGCGTGTGCGGGCAGTCCTCAGTTGACGAGATATTGAAGCGCTTGACCCGGCCTTAGTTAAAAAAACGAAGCCAGGTTGAGGACTTGGGATGGATGGGCGCATGTATAAGTATGGGATATGATGATTGAATGAGTACCTTGATGGTCTTGATGTAATACATACATATGTACGTCTAAATCTCTTATGTATAAGGCAAGGAAGGACAGTGGTTGGGAATAGTTATTTCTTACCTCTTGTAACGACAATATGTCAGGAAATACATTAGATATGTACCACGTTATATCCCAAAGCCAAATACCTATCTATACACATGCATCAGGCATAATTATTTGGACTATTCCCTTTTCAGAAAAACCCGCGAGCTCTTGGTACTAGACCCTCTTTGGAAAATCTCGCGAGCTGCTTAGAAATAAAAGTAAGCATATAGTCTATATTCATCCATGTTGCGGACTTCGGACAACACCATCTTAACTCCCCTCCACGGGAAATATCATTTCACCATGAATATTTCGCTTAGGGGGCTTGAAAGCTCTAGACGTGGAGAATGTAGGCTATGAAGCCCCGCGTAGCATATTGAGAGGGGTGATCAAGAGGTATGAAATAGATAGGTAACTAAATATATATAAAGGGAATAAACCCGCCCCTTTCATATATCAGTTCGTCAAACAAGATAATTTACTATATTTCAATATCTAAGAAGATTCATCTTTTTATCTTTCGCTGTTCAGCCTAAGTCAAGACTCTGATATCAATAATTCAGCTTAATCATGTTTCAATTCCCGGTTCCGGCATCTCTCCAGAAGAGCATCGACAACACCAAGGTCGACTATGCTAGGGTAGGCTCTTCAGGGCTTCATGTATCCTCGCCTATCCTGGGTGCTATGTCTCTGGGCTCCTCTAAGTGGCTACCGTGGGTGCTAGATGAAGAGAAGTCCCTCGAAATTCTCAAGGCCGCCTACGATAGGGGCATTAACACGTGGGACACAGCAAACGCCTACTCCAACGGTATCAGCGAAGAGATCATCGGAAAAGCGCTGCGGAAATTCTCCATCCCGCGAGAGAAGGTTATTATCTTGACAAAGTGTTTCCTACATGTTGGGGAAGATTCGAGCGTATTCACCGCTCCGTTTGGAGGAGTACTTAGCCGGAGTAAGGATTATGTTAACCAAGGAGGTAAGCGAGTTTCGATTCGAGTAGTGTCTTATTCCTCCATTCGTATATAGTAAACGGGAAAATGATGAGTATTAAGTTGACAATATCATAGGTCTTTCTCGTGCTGCCATCTTTAACGCCGTTGAAGCGTCACTGAGGCGTCTGGGCACGAGTTACATCGACCTATTCCAAATCCACCGATTCGACCCAACCACGCCTATCGAGGAGACTATGAAAGCGCTACACGACTTGGTACAGACCGGTAAGGTGCGCTACATCGGTGCGAGCTCGATGTGGGCGACGCAGTTCGCGCGCATGCAAGAGGTTGCCGAGCGTAACGGCTGGACTAAGTTCGTCAGTATGCAAAATTTGTACAACTTGTGCTACCGCGAAGAAGAACGTGAGATGATTCGTTATTGCAACGACACGGGCGTTGGTATCCTGCCGTACTCTCCCAACTTCGGCGGCAAGTTGGCCCGTCCCTTGGGACAGGAGGATTCGACTCGCTCCAAGACACCCGGTCCCATCAGCTTAGATCTCCGACCTGACGAGGAGGAAACTATTCGCCGTGTGGAGAAGCTTGCCATCGAGAAGGGTTGGAAGATGAGCAACGTCAATCTGGCGTGGCATCATACGAAAGGCACCATACCGATCGTCGGGTTTAACTCGGTTGCTAGAATCGACGAGGCGTGCGATGCGCGAGGAAAGATGTTGACGGCCGAAGAGGTCAAATTCCTCGAGGAGCCCTATGTTCCTAAGCCTGTATTTGGACTTTTCGACTAAGTCGTTATTCACTATTTCAGAGTAACTATTGTTTCTTTGAGAAGTAGGGAGGTTCTGTACTGTATCTAGAACATCAGTTCATTTTGTTCGATAGCTGCATCAAGAATGGCATCTCCTAAAGTGTTAGCAATAGACTTCAATTTGTTCTTTAGCCACTCTTTTTGGAATTCTGGGATATTATCCGTATTGATCGCCAGGATTAGCGGCCATGCTAGGAGCGTCGCTAACTTAGGCTTGATTTCTTGATTAACGTGAACAATATTATCATTGGCCATAGCTCCCGTGGGGTTTCCTTCCACGGTGATAGAGGTAAAGAAGACTGGAATACTGCGACACAAGTCTGTTCCTAGGGATGTCGTCTTTCCTAGACATATATCCTGTTCTGGGGCTACAGATAACATCTGAGATGAGCATTGGGCCATGACGGAGAGCGCCCTATTACGGATGCTGTTGACAATTAAACGAATAGCGTTGTATCGACACCATATGGCAGCGTGGCCATACGTGGCGTAGACATGGATTACTCCATCAAAGGTAAAATCCGGCGTAGAGTCCGACCGTGTGGTGAATCTCCAATCTTCAGGGAGTGCAGCAGACCACACTTCTAATGCGGCGTCCAGTGATCGAGCCTCGGCTGCAAGATCGCCTGGATGCGGCTGAGTTGAGAATCTTGCACTTTTCGGAAGAAAGAGACAAAGTGATCTCTCACGGAGAGCGGCTACGCGGACCATGATCGAATCGAGGATTAGAACGGGGCCTTCCTCACCGAACTGGGCCCCGTCTCGAATCCACTCAGGAACGGATATGCCTCGGAGAATGCATACCCGAATCTGGTCTTGGTTAGCAGTATATCTATTACGAACATTTACATACTTACTAATCGTCGCCTTACGGTTCGATCGAGAAGAAGATTCGACGTCCATCTATTTTGTTGCCGTTGCCTTAAGAGGTCCGTGGCTCCATCGTAATGATAAGCATTCTTCCATATCCGTGACCCAGTCACGTCGGGATTTAAAAGTGAAACTTCATCCTGGTTCTGACGGTTCCAGCCTTCTCTATCCATTACGTTCTTGTAACAAGGATCTATTAGGCTGTGCTTGTTAAAGTGCTTGTGGGTTTTTATTCATACCTTGTAGTCAGCCATCAGCATTGTCGTAAGGAGAAGCTCGTCGATGTTGCTCTGCGATAGCTGACGAATCTCTGTTTGCACGCTCTCAATACTCTGTGCGAATAGCTTCTCAGCTTCTTCGATCGACTCGCCTGACTGCATCACACGACTGAACACAGCGTGCGAAAAGGCCGATGTAATTAGGTGAAGACTCGAGTTATGTTTGGCTGAATCACGGTGAGCTATCAAGTAGTGGTTATATTCTCGAGCGAATTCGGGAATTTCGTCGTCTCGGAATACGTAATTATCAAGCCAGAACTGCAATGCTTTATCTTTCGCCGGAACGAAGGATGATACTTCTTGTACCTTCGATTTCCAAGGACGCCGGGGTTTGCCTTGAGCAAAGGCATTCTCATCCTTGAATAGTAAACCAGCTTCTTGATTCTGATCCCAAACACAATCTCGGCTTGCTTTCTGGCATCGGCCGCATAACGGATGGACCGAATCGCACTGGATGTTCTTAGCTCGCGGTGACGGAGTGGTTTTTTTAGTTTCTTGGATATATTTACGCCTTACCTTGATGCGCCGGGTTTTGCAGGTAATGCAGCCGCGACTAGGAAATGCCATGCTGCTGTCTTGGAGGATGCTGCTAGCAGGGCAGATAGAGGTAACCGGATTACCTATGAACGGTTTAGTTACAAGTTATTTACAGTTACAATTAGTTACAAGTTAAGTGCGATGGAAATAGCAAAATGCAAGGAGGTAGCGGAGATTACGGGGTTACCATCTTACATATTACCTAATCCTCTTATGACTGATAAAGAGGCTTGGAGTTAAAGTTAAAGATCAATTAAGCGAATGCGATGTTCCTGGGTGAAGTACTTCAACGAGGTATCGCCCTAGTGCAAAATTTACCGAAAAGTCGGCCAATCGGGGAAACCATTTAGTATCCCTTGCCAGCCTCTCGGGATAATTAGAAAGCCACTAGACGCCTATTGGACGAAGAATGGAATCAAGCCCTGAATAAGGCAAGTACATGTCTTCACAGTCTGCAGGCTTGCAGTCACTAATTTGTCCGACTGGACGTGTACCTAGGTAGGTACTTACACCTACGTGATCCATGAATCATGACTTAGAGCCTCAGTACTTTTTTCTATTATTTTGTCATCCTATCATGTACCTACCTATCAAGAGCAGTTCTATTTCGAGGTCTTCTCCACCTAGAGAGATGTGCCCCTTCTCAACAAAAATAGCTAGTAACAAACGAGCAAGTCCTACCAAATCCCAGCACATCGCAGCTTCAAGTAGCAAGAGAGTTTTCTATCGCACCTTATGCAGCCTCTATTCAATTCCACAATCTCCTTGCTGTGAAGTTACAACAGGCATCTATCAGCCCGTTCTTTTTACCAATTTCCTAAACAAAGAAGTGAAAGAGTTCTGCTCAAGGGGAGCTACCTGAATATTCAGACATCGAATTTCTAACCCGGCCTATCAAATCTCTGAAATTAGGAAACTAAATGATGGTAATAGCGGCATTTACATTGGCTGACATCTGAAGTAACCTGCCAAGCAATACAGAGACTCCCTCGCATTGGGGTTATCGAATATTCACGATTGCCAGTTGGCGGCGTGGTCGACGAATAGAATCTGCATTACTAATACCGAGTCTCGCATTCGTTTATAATTAAGAGACGATCTACTTTGTTAGATCGTATTCACGGCCTAAAGATCGCCCAGTCCATTCATAACTGTTATATAATCTTACCCGCCCACTTCAACTCGGCTCACACGATAGTGAGGAATGCCAATAGTCTTTTGGTTTTCTGGAATTTGAGACACATCGGCGTACGCCATTAATAGTTTCCGAAGCATCATGGCTACAGAAACAGAGACACACGATATACGAAAGGGGATAATTCTTGGAGGACCTCGAAACGAAGATGTCGATTTTCAGACTACGGTGCGAGGAATGCTGGAGGCTAATTTCGAAGACTGGCCAAACGAAGCAGGAGTAAGTCACAATTATACTATCTTCACCCGTATAAAATGCTAATATATTATAAGTTCGAAGGCCTAAATGAGATACGCGGTCCCGTAGAACTTTCTATCAAAGGTTCTATCCCGGTGTGGGCTGCTGGCACGCTGTACCGCACTGGCCCCGGGCAGTATGTCGTCGAAAATACCCCGAAAGGTACATTCCGTACCACACATTGGTTCGACGGCCTGGGCCACTCACATAAATTTAATATTATTCCCAACTCAGAAAAAGGTGGTAGTCCTGTGAGGGTCGAGTATACATCTCGACGTCAGAGCCAGGCTCTATACGATGCTATTAAGAAAGATGGGAAAAGACCTGATATTGGTTTCGGGCAAAAGATGGACCCGTGCATCGGCCTATTTGGCAAGATCATGAGCGTTTGGAGAGGATCACCGAAACGGGAGGATCCTAATTTTGACAATGTTTCGGTTGCCTTTCAAGCAAACGTGCCTGGCTTGCCGTCGAAAGCCAGAGCAACCGCCGAGTCTGGCCACCGAGCAGGTATCAAGAATCTATGGCTGACTACAGATAACGGAAATATGAAAGAGATCGACCAGAATACCTTAGAGCCGATAGGAATAGCCAGACAACAAACGCTCCACCCGCTCCTCAGAGGTCCTCTGAGCTGCGCCCACGCCCAGAGAGACCCGGAAACCGGCGACTACTACAACTATAACCTTGAAATGGGCTATAAGTCGTTCTATCGTGTTTTTTGCACGAATGCGTCAACCGGAGTAACCAAAATTATAGCTACGATATCCGCTGTCGACGTGAAGCCGGCGTACATTCACTCGTTTTATCTCACACCTTCCTTTGCCATATTGTGTATTCCATCATCCCATATCGGTACAAACGGTATTCAAGTTCCTTGGAAGGGCAATATGGTCGACGCCATCGAGGCCTTCGACGAGTCAAAATTATGCAGGTGGTTCGTCGTCGACCGTCTCGGCGACCGTGGTGTAGTTGCCACGTTCGATAGCCCGGCTGCCTTTTACTTCCACAGCGTAAATTCGTTTGAGGAGCGCGACCAGGAGACGGGTGACTTGAACGTATACTGCGACGTAATGCAGTATCCTAACATTGACGTGATACGAGCGTTTGAAGTGGACGTCATGCTCCAGAGGAACGGCGCGGCCAAGAAATTCTGGGGCGACGAAGAGCGTAATCGCAACTGTCACGTTCGTCTTACTCGGTGGAAACTTGGGATCCCCAAATCAGACACGAACGATGCGGGTGCGTCAGCAACTCGACGAAATGCGGAGAAAATGTTCGAAATCAAGGCACCGCATGCTGGCGAACTACCTACGATCAACCCGACGTACGCGACTAAGAAACATCGCTACGTATATAGCATAGCCAACCGCGGTCACAGTACCCTCTTCGACACTATTGTGAAGACAGACGTGTTAACACACGGGACGACGTTCTGGGACAACCCGAGCGGACACACGCCAGGAGAACCTATCTTCGTACCGCGTCCGAAGTCGCCTGAAGATGGAGACCTGGACGAAGATGACGGTGTGCTCCTGAGTGTCGTGCTTGACGGAGCTTGTAAGACAAGTTATCTGCTATGCTTGGATGCCAAGACTCTACGCGAACTGGGACGTGCCGAGTGCGATTTTGCTATAGGGTTCGGGTTTCATGGCATGCATTGGCCTGCTCCGGTCCCTACAACGTCTCAGGTGTAATACGGTTACAATTTATATAAGCCATTGATTGGCGTAAAGGATCGCGCTTAGGACAAGGATAAGCGATTGGCTTGCAGGCCGAGAATCCGATGTAAATACGCGAATTTGAATTAATTTCTAACAATCATTATAGTGCCTGGTTAGTATTCGGTTTTGTAGAATGCACGATTTCTCGCGGCCCTTGAGCCAATCCCCTTGCTAAGACTAGCTCAGGGGATATCTGAAAACGACGTATTTGAGGTATATGCCACAAGTCAGGCGAATATTGAACAGACGAAACTAAGAGTGCCACCGATTTTATACTGCGGACTTTTCATCATGATGCGAAACGGCGGTGTTTCCTTCGCTCTCGGCCAACTTTTCGGCTTGATCATCAGTTGCGGCACTATCAACGTCACCAGTAGCCGTCGTAGTGACACCTTGTCGTTGCGAAAATGTAGAGCTCGGGGTCCACCCAGCACTCTTGCGCGCGCTGCTCACTTCGCTATATAGCTCGTCGACCTCTTCGAGCGACCAGCCCTTGGTTTCGTATACGAGGAAGTATACGAAGGCAATGCATATGAAACAAGCGCCGAACCACACGAAGAAGATCTTGGACTGCAGGTTGGCGTAACCCTCGCCGTAGTTGACGAGATACGGGGTCGCGTAGGCTATCGCCCAGTTCAGGAGCCACTATTTGTATAAATAGTAAGCACTACGCCTCGGAGAGAGGGGACGCAAGGGGTATATGGGTAAGAAGAACTTACGTTAGTGGCGGTAGTCATGCTAAGGCACTTGGCTCGCACTTTTAGGGGGAAAATCTCGCCCGTTACTACCCACGCAAGGGGTCCCCAGGTACTGGCAAAGAAGAAGATGTAGATACAAATAAAGGCGATACCGGCCTTTTGCGCTGCGACGTTATAGACCACGATATTGCCTGCCTCGTCTTGTCCCGTCGTCAGAGTACCGAGTAGAGCCACAAGGAATTGGCTGATACACACTGGAGGAAGAAAGGTCAGTAATTATTTCATGTACAAGGGAAATTAGGAGAGAAAAATCTGGATTTTACTCACTTCCAACTGCGCCCCATAATAGAAGCGGACGACGACCAAGCCTATCTACAGCCCATAGACCAGGGATGGTTGAGAAGACGTTAATGCAAGACGTGATTACTTGGATCGTGAATGGATCTTGGATGCCCGAGTTCTTACTACGATGTTGAAAGTTACGATGTTAGCTTTGTAATCTTTGCTACCCCTGAGATGTCTCCAAAGAGAATCGAAACAATATTGTACTAACAAATAATTTACACCGTAGTAGAACACAAAGTTGACACCTAAGATAATGTTAGTGAGAAATATTTAAACGCCACAAGGATAGCCGGCGTGTATTACCTGTTAGCTGCTGAAGCCCCTGTATTCCCATGCCGGTGAGAAGTCGCTTTAGCATGGGGCCGCGGAAGCAGTCGAGGTAAGTGGCCGTTCCGATGCTCATCTCGTAATCATTGTTCGCCTTGATCTCGGCTAACTCGTCATGGATAGCGGCATGGTTGCGATCAATCCTCCGGAGCTTGCCAAGAGAACGGGCGGCCTTATCCTGTTGCCCTTTCTTGACCAAGTACCGGGGAGTCTCCGGCAGCAGAAGCATTCCAGCAATGAGGATTATGGCCCAGGCGAACTGCACAGCGATGGGAATGCGGTACGAGCCGGTGTCCTGGCGGTACTGCGTGGCGTAGTCCACGACTGCGGCGAGGAGCAGACCGATCGTGATGGCGAACTGGTACGCGCCTACGATGGCACCTCGAATCCAACGCGGTGCCGTCTCGCTTTGGTACAAGGGAACTATACCGTATGTTAGCCAAAGCTTACTTAGAAGCCGAATAAGAGTTCGGAGGGACATACTTAGGGCAGAAATCAGACCGACGCCGAAGCCGGCAAAGAAACGACCAGCGAGGAACAGAGGCAGAGCCACAGCAGCGGTCTGGAGTATAACGCCGAAAATAAAGACCCACGAAGAGACGATGAGAGATAAGCGGCGACCTATAGTATCGGCAAGGAGCGGCGATCCCAAAGCTCCGAAGAAAGTGCCTGCGGAGAGAATCGACACGATGGCAGAGGATTGGGAGGGCGAGACGTCTAGATGGCCGTGAGTGTTGCGGTAACCGGTTGAGAAGAGATTTTGGAAGAAGTCCATAGCTAGGATACCGCTAATAGTTCCGGTATCGTAACTAATATTCCAAGTTAGCGCAAAGAGGAACAATGTAAACTGTCAGTCTGTCACACATTCCGAGAATGTTGCTAAACATACCCGAATAGGATGCCACCGAATGCTACAAATAGGCCGATGACGATGGCGGGCCACGCCTTGCCGGCGTCCTGCTCGGGCTTGTGGATAGTGAAGCGACCCATTGCGCGAAGGTATTGTTGCGCCGTTCGATTTTATAAATCGGTGAATACTACGTAGAGTCGCACGGATAGGACGACATGGGTTATTGTCGTTCAGAAGGGATGGGGAGAAGTTTAAGTAATGCTCAGGTTTATATATGTAGGTAACTAGGTATCTTATGTAACTCTTGGTAGAGATGCTGTAATCTCTTTGAGGCAAACCCGATTCGGTTTGGACGTGATATTAATTCACGTAACAGGGATCAGGGAATGATGAAATATTTCACCAACAGAGAAATAAAATGGAGTGGGGAGTCACGAGGTGGTTGCTGTCTGAAAGAAGGAACGACCGTACTTACGTAGCGTGGAAGTCGAGACCCTTGATGTCGTTATTCTTGCCTCGCAAATTCTAAGCTTATGGAGCTGCAGCTGGGGGATAGGGGGAAGGAGGGGTACCTAACAGGACTTGATCCCCGGAAACGTTATCACTACCTAACCTTATGTTTACCTAACCTTATGTTAGGTAGGTAGGTTAGGTTAGGTACATATCAAAGTTTCTCTTTCTTATCCAGACATGATTATTGGCAAAGTCATACTTCACGAGGCCTGACAACCCGTTGAGGCCGGTCCGATTGTAGTGCAGATATTCAGGCTCGATACACCCTACGATCTGATAACACCGCAAATCCTACTATATACCTAACCTATATAATCCGCGGGACTAGCTCCAACAAGTGACTACATAAAACATGTGGGACGATGTGTGGCTGGGAGCATCGAATATCACCACATGGATGTATAGATGTATTAGTTTACCTACTGTATATAAAGGTATGTACGAAGTAGATGACCACAAACGCTAGAAGCTGAGCTGAGCTACACGAAGCTAAAAGGTGCATTAGTATGCGAAAATTGACGTTTCAGGGGCTATTCGAATATAAAGCGATTCATCTCAGTCTATATACCTGTCTTACAAGGGAACGTTGAAGCACGAAGTTTGCATAGGTATATCAAGAATATGGCCAACCAGGTCAAAATAATCCTGATTCAAACGTATATGCTGTACTACGCACACAGCAGCAGATCAACGGGATTTCCCATGAAGCCCAGACGGGATGGATGCGGGCGTAGAGCTCCACTGCATTAGTGGCTTGGTGTCGTATTATCGTCGTAGAGGTAGGATTATAGGTTCAAATCGCCAATATGGGCTACACTAGGTAGCCCTCCGTGTTCGGGACTCTAGTTCGTACCTGGAACCCGACCCTGTACATACGCCTATACGTCTATTACATGGGAGGTGACAAGTGCCGCCAGTTAAAATCTTTGCAGCCACGGCGAATTCCACAAGTCTAACTAGTTTGGTCTGACCATGGGGAGTATGCGTGGGCGTGTGTGGGGGAAACCGGAGATGTTATGAAAAGAAATTCCAGCCTCAAAGGCTAATAAGTCGGCCCATGTCTTCTCCATTTCTTCATTCATTTCCGTCTCCATTCATTCTCCACGCTCCCCGGGGCGCCATCACCATACGTGATCATACGTGATCTAATGTAGGCATTTTCGCCGATAATACCCAAGGCTCATCGCTCGAGAGCTGACCATAATAACGCCGAGCAAACGTACCTAAAGTTCGACATACATCATGCTTCGGAAGCCTGTACACTCATCTACAATCTTGAACGATAGGCTGCGGGTGGCCAACAGCCAAGTTCCCTACCTGTAAAGTGCTCACGAATAGTAAGCAGCGGTATCAGGGATGCATGCAATGTTTAAAAAGGCGTAGGATTGGTTACCCATGACGTATAGAAGGATGGTTAATGCGACATGTCGTTCAGCTGAAGTCTCTCCCACGACGTGGATCGGGTCTTCTTGACAAACTGGTGACGATCAAACTGGTGACGATGCTGCGATGGAGGCTACATCATCTACAGTTTTAGAGATTCAACTAGTGGGATAGAGGAGGTTTGCTGTGGTTTCGATTTGGATAGCAATAAATGATGGAGTTATACGGGGTTTTACGGGGGTTTACGGGGTCTTTTGGGGAATTGTGGGGAATTGTGGGGTTAGACTACTCTATACATGGTAAATAGTCCTAAGACTACAATGGTCCCGAGGTCACGATACAGACATCGGACCGATATTATTCTATTGCGGTATCAAGTGTCGAGCGGTCAAAATTGTCATCGGTCCTTCTCAATTAGTATACGCAGTAGTTCGATCGTAAATCTGTATCTAACAAGAATTATGTTATAATATGGGGTGTTTCTTGATAATAACCCCCACGGGGTTTTTTTCGAGAAGAAAATGGAAGAACTGCACGTTGAAAAAAAAAAAGGAAGAAAAAACTCATTTTATTTTGCGCGATGTAACTCCGGTGCCTATCGGTACCTTAGGTACCATCTAACTTAGGTAATATCGGCGCAACCTTGAACTCAGGGCGCTAACCTAGATGGTAGCAGCTGTAGCGGCTCCATCGGCGCCCGGACCCTGAGAAGTTAGGTAATCGCGAAAGCCGGACCGTACCTATCGTTGAAACCGAAACTTGTTATCATTTCCGTCGCGTGCCAAAATCGTGCCGAAATGGAACATTGAACCCTTGGATGCGGCACAACCATGATCGACCAACTAGACGCCTCGAAGGATGCCGATGACAAAAAGCTGCACACCAATCCCATTCCGAAGCAAGGTTCTGCCGTTCATGGCGCATCCCTGCTCATAGTCCTCCAGATCGCGTCGCGCGCCATCACCTTCGTAGCCAACCAGCTGCTGCTTCGCTTCCTAACCGCTCAGCTCCTAGGAGTTTCAACACAGCTCGAAGTATACTACTTATCTGTCCTATTCTTCGCCCGCGAAAGTTTGCGCGTAGCTATCCAGCGCCAGGAGAGCCCGTCTACTTCGCGTTCTGGTGATGGCCGGTCCCTAGTCGAGAATGCGAGAGACAGCCAATCTGTCGTGAACATTGCGCATATATCTCTGCTGTTAGGTCTAGGAGCTTCCGGAGGATTGGGCTGGGCCTACCTTAGCTACGTCGACGCTGCTACCGCTGCTACCCCTTACCTCGACGTCGCCCTTCGTATATACGCTGTAGCGGCTATCGTCGAGTTACTCTCCGAGCCCGCCTTCGTGATATTGCAATATCGATTACGCTTTGGACCTCGTGCCGCAGCTGAATCTGTCGCCACATTCTTTCGATGTCTCGTAACCTTCGGGGCGGCTAATTGGGCTTGGAAGAAGGGTTTAGAGATTGGCGTCTTACCATTTGCCCTCGGACAGCTAGCCTATAGCACGGGACTCCTCGCTGTTTACGCGTGGTATGGCGCACAATTGGCGTCTGCCGAGGGTTTTTCCCTTTTCCTAAGGACAAGTGCTCCATCGCAGAAAGGGACTAACAAGAAAATAGAGACGGCGCGGGCTCTCGACACTGATTATGTGCTCGGATACTTTTATAGGCCGACCCTACAACTCGCATATAGCTTGACGGCTCAATCGTTTGTAAAGCACCTCCTTACCCAGGGCGATACGTTTCTAGTTTCTATACTCTCCGACTCGAGATCCCAAGGCGTTTATGCCCTCGCCAACAACTACGGGAGCCTGCTTGCGCGCTTAGTCTTCCAGCCTATCGAGGAGAGCAGTCGCAACTATTTCAGCAAGCTACTCTCTTCTGCAAAGAGCTCCCCCGGAAAGCAAGTTGTTGCCAAGGCGCGTTCGGATCTACAGGCGCTCTTGAAGTTCTACGTTCTCCTAAGTATGGTAGTTGTTACCGTAGGGCCCTACGCTGCGCCTTTGCTGGTTCAGATTGTTGCGGGCACCAAATGGTCCGCCAGCGGAGCCGGAGCAGTGTTGGCGCGGTATTGCTTATATATCCCACTTTTGGCTGTCAACGGCGTCGCGGAAGCGTTCGTATCGTCGATCGCCACAGAATCCGAGGTGCACCGCCAGAGCTTGTGGATGGGCGTCTTCAGTGTAGCATTTGGCATCGCCGGATTCGTCTCGCTCCGAGTTTTGGACTTGGGCGCTGCCGGTCTCGTGTATGCGAATGGCATCAATATGCTATGTCGTATCATCTGGAGCGGAACTTTTATCACGCGGTATTTTCGTGCTAACGAAACCGACTTCAGCTGGAGCAGTATTCTTCCAAGTAATCTGGCCCTTACGACTGTCGCTGCTGCGGCGTTCTGGGCTTCCCTGACGAGAGCCGGCATTTCTATCGGTAGCACATCGCCATACGTATTTGTAGATCTAATTACGGTTGTAACTAGAGCTGTGCCCTTTGTAATCATCATGTAAGTATCTTAACTACTTTCTAGCCATCCTACACGTTTATAAAAATCTCTAACTGATCAACCAGTGCCTATACCGAACGCAAGTACTTGCTAGACTGCTATAGTTCCCTCCGTGGTCGTGGCGAAGCGTCAAGGTAACATCTACCATGGGTATAGACATAGCTTAATCTATAGACACCAATTCCGCAGCCCTTGATTAGTTTAATCAAATGTGATCTTCGTACCCTTCTTCGTCATGTCGACGTCCTTATAGAAGGCGCCGTACGTGCTATGCGCCTTCTTCTTGACAGTTGTCCCGAATTTGAGGAGGTCCTCCGGCACCTGTTGTCCGGCGGCCTTGAGTATATTGATAAGCCTAGAGGAAATGTTAGTGTGAATCGATGCCTCGGATGCGATAATCTATTGGACTTACTCTCCCGAATGTGCCTTGTCGTGTTCGGTGAAGAGCGTGATGGCCAGTCCGGTTTTGCCAGCTCGCCCAGTACGCCCGATACGGTGGACGTAATCTTCGATGGTAAGAGGGAACTAGAATCCGCGCTCGCAGGTTAGCATACTAGATGCATACGAAACTATAAGATATCGATAGAAAATATGGTGCATCATACCGTGACATTGATCACCAGCTTCACTTCGGGAATGTCCAGACCGCGGGCGGCAACATCCGTGGCAACCAGAACAGGGGTCTGTCCCGTCTTGAAGGCCTCGAGACTTCGCGTCCTCTGCTCTTGTTTGAGATCACCGTGTATGCCAACAACCTTGATGCCGCGCTGCTGTAGGAATCCTTCGACCCGAGTGGCCTCCTTCTTGTATAAGCAAAACACTAAGACTCGCTCGTTCCTGGGCTGCGCCTTGAGCAGCTGCAATAGCCTGGTTTCCTTGCCCCGGGGATCTACGACTTCGACACGCTGCTCGATCCTTATGTTTGCTTGCAGGTCGCCACTCGCGTTTCCGCCTATCTGGATCTTGACTGGTGATACCATAAAGGTGGATGCGAGAGCCTGCACACTCTGCGGCCACGTTGCCGTGAACATGAGTGTCTGGCGATCTTCTTTCCTAGGCGTACACCCAATGATCCTCTTAATGTCGTCTTCGAACCCTTTATCTAGCATGCGGTCGGCTTCGTCTAGTACGACGAATTTAGCTCCATCGAGCTTGGCGGAACCCTCTTCGAGGAAGTCCTTTAACCGACCAGGAGTCGCGACTACGACGTCCGCCTTCCGTAGTAGTACTCTCTGATCATCCTTGGACGCGCCACCGTATATACAAACTGTCTTCAAGCCGACGAGATCACCGAGCCTTGCTAGCTGCTCATTGGTCTGCATTGCCAACTCACGCGTGGGGGACACTACGACAGCGCGTATTTTACCACTGCCCTTGGACTTGGGCATTCCTAGCACGGCGGAGATGAGAGGTAGGCCGAAAGCGATAGTCTTGCCCGATCCTGTTTCTGCCACGCCGACGATGTCGCGACCCGAGAGCCCGAAAGGCCAAGAGGCGGCTTGGATAGGTGTCGGAGCTTTGAAAGATGAAAATGGGTTTTTGGCGATTAGAGCAGAGGAGGGCAAGTGAGAGAATTCGATGATGGGTCGGAAAGGTTTGTCAGAGAGCGGGTCGGTGACAGTAATCTGATGAGTGCTAAGGAAGGCCGCGATATCAGACTCGGGCACGGCAGAGAGCGCGGCGTTCTGCTCGTACGTCTGCGATGTACCAGAAGTGGTCGAAGTATTGGTGATTCCATTTGTAGTACTTTCCGTAGAGCCATTGGAATTGCTATCAACGCCATTGGCCTCTAGATCTTCTGTCTTGCGCTTCTTCTTCTTGTCTTTCTTCTCCTTTTTAGATTTGCGGCCCGCGTCTACATCGTCGTGGGACCCGCTTGCCACATCTTGCTCAGCTGTATTCTCGTCCTTTGGCTCATTGATAGCTTCGCCCTCGCTGCTACTCTTCTCTGCCTTTCTCTTTTCTTTCTTTTCCTTCTTCTTATCCTTCTTTTCTTTCTTCGTCTTCGTCTTCTCCCCGTCAGCCTCTGATATTATTTGTTCTGTGGCTGAATCTGCTAGCGCTGGTGTGACCGAGTCGGTCTCTTGCGACTTCTTGCGATCCTTCTTGTCCTTCTTGTCCTTCTTAGACTTCTTGCGCGGGAGGGCTGTAGCCTCTACTTCAGCGTCCTCAAGACGATGTTTCGACATGATTATGGAACTTCGTGAGGTCAGTACTCTTTGATATCGCAATTAGATTTCAAACGGTTCGAGCAGGATAGAATTGTAAGTTGCGGCGCCCAAGAATAAAATTGGCGTTACGAAAACACCGTTACAAATAAAAGAACTTTGCGAATATCGAGGTGAACTAAGAAAAATCAATCGAGGACCCTGAATCTGATAAGATAAGCTTTTGATAACGTTTGATAACGCAAAAATATTAGCGGCTATTCCGTACGCTTTAGGTACAGCCCAGGTATAGGTGGCTTAGTAATGCTTAATAACACCAGCTTATGGACTTCACGATATTATTTTCGACAGCTATATGTAGCAATTAAGTCGCGGAGTTCAGACATGCTCTCATCGTGACTCGAGTAGGAGGTAGTTATTCATTGCATAAAGGTCGATTGAGAATGGGAATACCCTAATTCCTTTGGATCCTGACGCCTAACTTACAACATAGTAAATGCTACAGCCATGCACCTCACTAAACATTAATAAAAAATTAAATAGCCACGAGGTTTTACGATTTTATTCCGAGCGAGGACTATTGTACATCTCTTAATGAGTGCTCGAAAACCTAAGCTTGATAACTCGATTACTGAGGAGATCAAAGTTCATCGCATTCAACTTCGGCCTGAGTTAAAAAATAGCCGTAACATCAAAAATCCCTCACAACGGAACAACGCACAGCGATATCAAATTATCATAAGCAGTCACATACCGGTATCCCCGTTTGGACTGCGTATCAAAGCCGCGACTTTTAATTCCCCATCTAAACTCCGTATCCCATGCAAGTAACGAATGAATCCTTCACGTTCGGTTCCGTGTGTTCATCATTAAGCAGTTGCCGTCGCGGCCTCACTAATACTGGGCATCTTTGCGCCAGTACCAGCAAGGTTTGTTGGCTTGGCATGAGGGTTCTTGCCGTAGTAGTCGGAGATAGCAGATTTGATGGCATCCTCGGCTAACATGGAACAATGAACTACCAAAGCGTTAGTACTATATCAACTATTTCGTTGCAACGTAAAATATAAGGTATATAGGTATCAAAACTTACGTTTGACAGGTGGTAGGCAAAGCTCCTGGGCAATCTCGGTATTCTTGATACGGCCTGCCTCCTCGAGGGTCATACCTCTCACCAGCTCTGTTAGGTAGCTCGAACTTGCGATAGCGCTGCCGCATCCAAAAGTCTTGAACTTTACGTCGGATATGGTGTTGCTCTTCGGATCGACCCGAATTTGAAGTTTCATGACGTCGCCACATGCTGGGGCGCCGACTAGGCCGGTACCGACGTCGACATCAGACTTGAGCATAGAGCCTACGTTGCGCGGTCGGCTGTAGTGGTCCAAAACTTTCTCGTGGTATGATCGGCGCGCAATGCTGGCGGCCGGGTTGAGAGTCTGGCGGGTGGCAACGCGAGGAGCTGCTGATGCGACGACTCGTCGAGCAGCGGTTGCTAGCGTCCGTGCAAGCATTTTGAGATATGAAATATGCAAGTCGTAATGTGGTCGAGATGGATTAATGCCAATAGAAATGGAATTTTGTTTGATACGTTTCTGGTTGAACAAGTGATGGCGATTGTGAAAGGACTATATTGCGGATGAGGTGGAAGCGAAGACGTAGAAATTTGTAGGTTGGGGGTTATGAATCGGAGATGATGAGGTAAAGCGTAACCCTTCCCCCCCAAAAAGTGAAGCGGTCTTTGTCGGCGATCTCGGTATTAAAATGGAACTTTGGTTTTGTGGCGAATCATAAAACTGCAAATTAGCGATGAAATCATAAGCCTCGGAGATTGTAAGTATTGCAAGGAGGGGGGTCGGTCGTAGCTATCTCCACTTTTCCACCTTATCAGATCCGTTCTTGCAGCTGCACAGGCATGGTCCAAGCCCGATAATTTCGACCGAACTTTCTAGGCCTGTCTCCTGTTGTCAACTGGCAAAGCAGCTGTGTTACGTACATATTGTACCACATACTTAGGTAATTAGTAGCGTGGGGCAAGCTGACCTTGTACTGCAGATTATGCTTGTACCCCTCCATCAACGAAGCCTTAGCCCCGCCGACGTGAAGCTCCTTGTACAATAATACATTAGGTACCTACATGAGGTGCATAGCTTCCACGCTTCACGCTTCACGTTTGGAATTTTAGTAGCAAATAAACATCATTCGTGGCCTCGCTGGGAACATTCTGGGTTTTCATCCGTATCTCTGCCGCAATTACTCTCAGTCATCTCAGTTCTCTACGTCCGTCTTCCGGTATACAACTTTGTCATTTCAGCACTCTTCTAACCTGAACACCTTTACCGTCCTCTTCCTCGTCCTTCAAAATGGCATGTCCACATCTCGATTCAATTTGTAAGTTTTGGCGGGAACAGAATAAATCTCTTGCTCACTCGTAACTTACGTGCCCGCCTTATATTGCAGCTTTACATCCCCCAACCCCAGCTCAGTCGGTCTATCGCGAAGACTGCACCCAATGCTTCGATTCTATCGTAAGTTTCTAGAGATAGCACCAGAATTCGCTAGCCAGCCTTACCATCGGAAGATTATGCTTACACGCTTAGGATGACGCTCAAGGCCTCGATGTCTGTCTGCAGTGTTTTAACGGAGGATGTCTAGGCGTTCGAACCCATTCCAAACTTCACCACGTCACCCGTAGTCACCCGCTCGCTCTAAACATCCGTCGAACTCGCAAACGAGTCGTAAAAGACGAGCCTCCCACAAAGATAACCAAGCTGGCGATCGCGGCCGAGACTGAAGCCGACCGCTACGATATCACGACCGCGGTCAAGTGCCACGAATGCTCCACCGAGCTTGACAAGACCAGCCCGAAACTCGCACCTATCGTCGACGGGATCCTCAAGGCGAATACTTTCTCACGGCAGGAGGAGGTCAAGGCTTGGGAACAGGAACTGACATCTTGCGAGCATATCCTCCTTCTACAGCAACACGAAAGCCGAAAGCTCCAGAGCGACCTGGGTCACTGTTCTAAGTGCGATCTAAAAGAGAATCTATGGCTGTGTCTGGAGTGTGGTAACCTAGGCTGCGGTCGTGCTCAGTTTGGCGGCGTCGGAGGAAACTCCCACGGGCTGGCACACGCTACCGAGTCGAGACACGCGGTCGCTGTCAAGCTAGGATCTATCAGCCCGGAAGGCACAGCAGACGTATACTGCTACCAATGCGACGAGGAACGCGTGGACAACGACCTCGCAGCCCATATGGCGCACTGGGGCATTATCGTCTCCGACCAGGTCAAGACGGAGAAGAGCTTGACCGAGATGCAGATCGAGCAAAATCTACGATGGGAATTCTCCATGACCACCGAAGACGGAAAAGAACTTAAACCACTGTTCGGACCTGGCCTAACCGGACTAAAGAATCTCGGCAACAGCTGCTACCTCGCAAGCATACTTCAGTGCCTATTCGACTTGCCTGCATTTCAAGAGCGGTACAATATTCCCGAAGTTGACCTACCCATCGTACCCGACCCAGCTCAAGATCTCGAAACGCAGCTACGCAAATTAGGAGACGGCCTATTATCAGGTCGCTACTCGAAGCCGGACTCCGACGTCGTAGCCTCCGAGCATTCCCCCGAGATCCCGCACCAGAAAGGTCTGTCGCCTAGCATGCTAAAGCACCTTATCGGCCGCGGACACGCCGAATTTTCAACGATGCGTCAACAGGATGCCTTCGAACTTTTACAGCACCTGGTCAAATTTATCACCAGATCTCAACACTCGGCGCCCCTAAAGGATCCTACCCAGTCGTTTAGATTTGTTCTCGAGCAGCGACTGCAGTGTATGAGCTGCAAGAAGGTCCGCTACACTAGCAACGAACAGGACGGTATCTTTATCGACGTGCCCCTGGAGAAGCTACCAGCCGTGGAAGGCGAAGGAGATCGCTACAAGCCGGTTACACTTAAGCAATGTCTCGACAACTTTACCGCCATGGAAGTGGTGGAGCTGACATGCGCGTCATGTGGGAGCAAAGACGGATTCACGAAGAGATCCCTATTCAAGACCTTACCAACTACCCTCGTCGTCAACGCGCGGAAGATGACGATAGAGAATTGGGTGCCCCGTAAAGTCGACGTCCCTGTAATAGTGGGAGACGAGCCCTTCCTACTCGACGAATATATCTCCTCTGGGCTCCAGCCTTCCGAAGAATCGCTGCCGGAAGAGGAAGCCTCTGCCGCTCCGGCTTTTGCGCCTAACGAAGCCGCGCTGGACGGGCTCATGGCGATGGGGTTCCCCCGGAATCGATGCGAAAAGGCGCTTCATGCAACCGGTAACTCGGATGCTAATGCGGCGATGGAGTGGTTGTTTGGTCACATGGAAGATGCCGACATCGACGAGCCTCTAGTCGTCACATCTGCTGGTGCCGGAAGCAATGCCGCGGCGGATCCTGAGAAGATCGAGATGCTAGGTTCTATGGGATTCGGCGCGCCACAAGCCCGCAAAGCCTTAAAGGAGACCAGCGGCGACGTAGAACGCGCAGTCGAATGGTTGTTTAGCCACCCAGACGACCAAGGTGACTTTGGTGACGAGACCGTACCGTCCTCAAAAGAGGCCGTCCCCGCAGGTAGCGCTGATGTTCCGGCGAGGTTCCAACTACAGAGCATCGTATGCCATAAGGGAACCAGCATCCATTCGGGGTAAGTTGTACCGAATTTTTACCAAACGTACGGAGCATAACACTAACACAACTGTAGACATTATGTAGCGTTCATCCGCAAGCTACTCGACACGACAACGCCGAAGTGGGTGCTCTTCAACGACGAGAAGGTAGTGGAAGCAGGCGACGTAGAAGAGATGAAGAAGACGGCATACGTCTACTTTTTCAATCGCGTAAATTAATAGGCGTTCAATGAAGCTGAGCGGGCTTTGGAGCCAGGTAACCCAAAGGATGGTGTTCATGGATGACCAGGGCATACATACATAGCTGTTAGAAGCCACGCATGGCTTTTTTAGATTTCGAGGAACACACGCGTGACAGACGAGGTACGAAGCCGAACCGGCATAGATAGTTTAGGGCTACCTGGCGGCTGAGCTGCCTTTGATGGATTGGCCATTGCCAAAAGCGTATCAATTCGGGAATCGTCTAATAGACCTTGTACCGACCATACGTCGTCATCTGACTAGTTAGTCTATCTATTTATCGCTGGCGCAAACAACGATATAGATTATATCTACTATCCAGTAGGTAGCCTAACAAGTTTCCGTTTAGAGCCCCAACCATGGGAATGGACCAATCCTAATATGTCTTGGTAACAACTTTGTAGGGTCTGATTAGTTGATTACAAGTGAAGATGATAGGTGAGCACAACTTACATCATCAACCCAGTTTCAGTAATGTTGCCATTGTTGTGACAATAGTAAATAATGGTTCACGATCGCACACATAGCAACTCCTAGTTTCTAGGTTATTTAAGCATCAAAAGTGTTGCTGTCACGAGAATACAACTAGATTCTATAAGCTTTCCTCGATACACCTACTGTTCCCCGATCCATAGTTGGCATTGAATATTAATTGCGCTTAGTGAATTTGACAAATGTTAGATTCTCCGATATAAATATGCACACGGTTAAGCGGTATTATCTTAGAGTAGCCTCCTGAAGCCCATTCTACTGCCCTGAATAGGGATCGGAGCGTTGCTCGTAGACTATGGAACCATTCATCACAAAAGCCGGCGTCGGGGAATGCTTTAAGAAAGGTGGTGTATTGACGCCGTTAATATGCCTAGGTAGAACTTCGATAAGAATGATTAGCTGAGCGGCTCGAGATGCAACATCTGAGCTACCGAATGTTATAAATACAGGGGTTTGGCCAGTTAATCGTGGGAGCACGTACTTGCACAGCTACCTCCCAAATGCCACATAGATGCTGCAGTATTTTGAATCTTATTCCTTGCGGTCTCTAGATCGTAAGATTTGAAGAAGAATCCCGGTGTATGGCAGGGTATTTCAGTAGGCCCGTAAGAGGGAATTCGAGGTGGACATTGCATAGCAAAGAGCATGCCTGGTCAAGTACAATGAGGGATGCTTATACAAACTATACAACTCGCCGCCCGAAGTGAGTCATGTAAATGTGAAACTCTGAGAGCTATGTAAAAGGGGGATGGTAGCGATCTAACTTCCCCATAGTTACAAATGAGCCTCTTAAGTTCACGGCCTTTTGATGATTTGAATCTGTAAAATTATAGCATAAGTGAGGATGAAGGCGTATTTTATACATAACAGTTGTCTAACAGAGTCCTGACATGTATATAAGTGATTGGTCGACTATATACTTTTAAATAAAAAGAATAAAATATACAGTAGAAATAAACCAATAAACCAATAAACCAATAAGGAAGAATATGCTACGGCTAGCCAAAGTACCTTATCTATATATAATACAAAAACCGTGGAATCCAAGACTTATTACGATCTCCTTTCGAGTAAGTAAAGGATCGAACTTCTATGCTCACTGGAAAATGTCGTTCTGCGCACCAGGCTGCCAACCCATCTTCTGGTTGTAACCTGGAGACACGCCGGCAGGTGTCTCCACGTTATTCCCTTCAGCCTCTGCATGCCATGTTAACAGGAGAGAAACAGTAGGGACGAAGGAATATACGCACGGTTCCAAGCAATCATCTGCTTTGCTCCGGAAACACAGGGGGCATTTCCGTCACCGCAGTATACTGGTGCTTTAGCGGGAGCAACAGTTCTCGTAGAATTAGAGCCGGTAACGCGGCACTTAAAGTTTTGCATGTACATGTTTGGTTCACCGCCTTAGTAGTAAGAAGTCAGTACACAGTACTTGGATAAATGAAAAGCGAAGGTTTTTGGCTTACATCCGTCTGGGATCCACAGCCACGCGCAGTAGCAGCCGTCTTCGGGGCATGATGGCAGGTCGCGAGGCACTTGGTATGTGGCTAGACGTTTCCATGGTGTGCTATCACCGCTGTTAGTTATTGCGTCAATTTGTAGTTGTCTAGTTACGGAGATATACGCACTGCTCTAGGACGGTAAACACCGCCAAGTTCTCCATCGTCACCTTGGAGATATCCGAGTTATAGGAGATAGCGAAAGCGGTGCCGGCGGCGGTCGATTCGTTGTGTGTATGCATTGCGCCCCCCAAACCATCCGGGTTAGCGAGGAGGCAGTCTCTGTTGTTTGGGCTGTGCCAGTCTTCGGGGTGCTCCTTTCCGTCCGGCCACTCCGACGTAAATTTCCCGTCGTAAGAGAGGGTGGTTTGGGCGCGGTTGTGGGCCAACTCGATGGTAAAGGATCCGCCGGCCGGGAGCTCCAGAAAATCGCCGGGGGAAGGACGGAACTGATCCGAGTCGCAGCCGCGATCGTGTTGCATCCACCACTGGTTCTTCGGGAGTTGGAAAAGGGGGTTTACAACTGTGTTGGTGTTTAAATCTTCCACTCCAGGTTCCGTACCGTTCTAGCGAGGTTATTATCGAACAACGATTGGCGACGAAGAGAATGCTTACCAGACAGTACATGCCCTTTGTAAACGCCGCGACATGAGCGCGGACAAAGCCGGCTGATGATAGCGTAGCGACGATTGTAGTAACGACCTTCATTCTTGTGCGAATCAATTCAATAAACCCGAATAGATATTGATGATATGGAGTAGGTAAGAAACAAGTAAGCGAGAAAGTTGACGAGGTTAGATATCTTCCAAGACCTGAAAATCGTTCACGGGTATCCATCTATTTAAGTCTTTGCCTTTGGCGAAATATCCTATCCTGCCCTGTGTTCATTACTATGGTTTCACCAGCCGTTGATGCGGCTCGAAATGGGCAGAGAGCCCCTGAGATGGGATACCGGTCAATGTAAGGTCATGCGAATGTAGCTGACGCCACCCAATGAGGCTTGGCTCAGCCCGGCAACAGATAGATTATGGGATTCAGACCTTAAATAGGAAACTAAATGCAGCTTTAGTTAATGTGGAGTGCGATAATCAGTTTATTATTGGATGAAAGAGACACGACGGTCTGAAATTAGGGACCTGCGCGATCTCTAGTAGGACTTGGTATGAGAATTCTTTTTTTTTTAGCTTTCCTGTTATAATTTTATGTTCTAAAAAGCTTAGAGGAGTTCATCATGAAACGCTCAGCTGGTCGTGCAGGGTTGGTAGTAAAGAGAACTATACGAACCATCAGTTTTAAGGCATGCGATATTCGTTGACTACCTACCTACCTCTGTATCTCAAAAACGACGCCGTAATTGCTAAGTAGCAATTACGCCTTCTATGTGACACTATCTCTATTCCTATCTGATATTTCCATCATAAGTGAGTAGCCAAAGCCGTGCTCATTATCTTCCCGTGGTATTTACTTGAAGCTTGTAATCTCATCTCGAATAGCTTAATTGCTGCTATGAAGTCAGCTAAGTCAAAGCCTAGCGCACGTGAAGTTCTTGGTGTCGTCAGCCTCGTGTCCAAGGTTCAATAATTGTCAGATATTGATGACGTGGAAGGATCGTTTAAGCGTAGGTATTTAACGTTTACGCGCAATGTTTTGACGCGGTTATAGGGGTTTTAGAATAGGTATACATCAGGAAGGTATCTGGAGGTGATGAATAAGATTCATTTATCATAAGCTTATGTTTAATCGCTAATGGTTAACCACGTCCTCTAGTAGCTTGGACTATTTATACTCACTCAATCGTATCTCTTAGGTCGTGTTAACAATAATAGTCAAGTTCCTCCAAGACGACCCTACGAATAGTCCAGGTCGCAATACTATCATCATGAATCCTATCTCCGTCGCGTCTCAGAATTGCTGAAGAGTTTAGGGTAAAACTCTATCAACGGATAAGCCTGAAGTAGGTTAGTAGCTCTTATAACAATGGTATTATTATTATTATGCTCGCGTAGTGTTTAATAGACTAACCTTCGTTGATTAAACAAAAATGGCAACATAGGAGGTATGTAGCGTACAACACGGCCCTGATCAATCCCGTTGCTAGATGATGTGTATCACATGCTAATATTACAATAGATGTCCTCTACATAATTACTTATCTATAATTAATTTCTCCCTAGTAGATATTGCGCACGACCGGACCTTTGAACAACTGAAATATACTAGTAGCGTCAGATAGACGGGCCGTTCCGCGTACGGTGCGGGGGTTTTTAGCCATAACACGGCCTCCGAATCTACGTACCCCGTCCCCGAATTAAAAAAAATTCTCCCCGAAAAATCAACATCCAATCAGTGGAGCCATACATCGTAGAAGCCGATAACTGCCTTCATATCTGTTAAGATGCCGAAACCAAAATCATTTACGAAGCAATCAAAAGCGAAGCCAAAGAAAGAGCAGAAGCTGGATACGGCAGACGACTTCCAAGCTGCCGGTGTCGATTTTGAAGAAGCCGCTGGAAAATGGCGTGCGGGAGATGCTACCAAGTCTATGAGATTCTTTCAGCGGGCTATTGACGTCTACGACCAAGGGCTTCGCAAGTTCCCTCAGAGCATCGACCTTGCGTATAACAAGTAAGGATTCTTTTCTAGACGAGCCTTTTTTATATGCCAGTTCCATTCATTTGAAGTGCGATAGCGGCATCATCTTTGAATTCTCTTGCACGATATATCTTCTCCCTAATAGAGTATCTACTAATAACTTCCACAGGGCCCGGGTACAGCTGGAGATTGCTACGCATCCTATTCTTGTTGAGCAGTTGCAGCAGCCCTTAAGAGGCGTATTGGACGAGGCGTTAGCGTCGCATCGGTACACGTTAAAGTTGGACCCAGAAAATCCAGACGCACTCTTTAATACGTCTCAAGTTCTTACGGCTATCGCTGAGTTGATCGCCACTGATGAGGATGACGATTCTGCTGGAACCGAGGCTGAAGCTTTGAAGGCGCTCCGAGAAGCGCTCGACCTGCAAAGCGCGTGTCTCAGCTTGCAGGAGCGAAAATACCAGGAATTCCTCGAGCAGGAACGCTTTGCTAACGAGCAAGGAGAAGACGCGAGTCACAAGGCCGTACCGGCTTCCGGATCAGGAAATGGCTCGTCTGGTAGCGCCGAGGAAGACGAAGAATGGTTCAACGTAGTTGAGCCGGTCACTAGCGACACGCTTATTGATACACTTCTCGCTCAGCTGGCTACCATCACCACTTTCTGTAGTATTCTGAGCACCTCGCTCGAAGCTGCTCCCACAAATACGCTCGCCTGGGTCGAGGAAATTTCGTCGGGCCTAGTTGAAAAGGTACAAGTCATCTCGCGTGAACAGCACGACAGGTTACAAGAAGTCGCCCTAGCGAGAGCCAATCTTGCTTCGGTGATGCTAGAAGCGGGTTACAGATGCGGGAAGATCGACGCCGAAATTTACGGTCGAGAACTAAATTCGGTTTTCGCAAATGCGGAACTTCAGCTTGAGAAGTCTGCAGAAGGCCATATAGCAAAAGCTCGCTCTCTTCTAGCGCTCAACTCGGCACTAACAGATTCCGACAACGGTGATGCCCAGTCGCAGTCGACATTGCGGTGGAATGTTCTCACGGCTAGCATAGCAAGTCTGAAATCTGCGTCGGCCATACGAGGGATCCCTCAGGAGGACTTAGCTACTACGCATCTCCTTCGCGGCGACGCGTCCTTATATCTTTACACTATGGCCTTCCCGCCGACGTCGTACCAGACAGCCGCAAATACAGCCTCTCAGAATGCCAAGAACGCAGAGGTGTATTACCGCAACGCGAGTAGGTTGACTCCGGACAATGAAGAGAGAGATGTCGCTTCGATAAAGTCAACAGTCGCACAGTATCTCCAAGCATACTCCGAGGGGAGTACAGAAGTCGACGTTGGTAGCTTATTAAACGCGAGTCCGCGGGGTCAGGAGTGGGTTATCAAGCAGCTCGAGGATATGACGGCGGAGAATCTCGTACCTCACGCGCTACTTTTCTAGTTCGTAGATATAGCGAATGCAGACTTGTGATCTTTGCTGATATTTTGCCTGCGATTGGGGTAAAATGGCGCCAGTATCATGCGTACAGTTAGCTGTTAATTTGAGGTTGTCTAGGTACGCAAGTGGAATGGTCGAATACCTAGTACTAAACAAAGAACGCTGGGGTTTTAGATGAGATACCTCGATTAAAGGATACCTTTATTCTCTAAGTGTATTTCCCAGTTGTATAATACCAAAAGCATTACAGGGAATTTTGACCGTTGCCAGCCACTATATCACTTTGTAGCTATTATTTCTTTACAGCAGGTCTTGGTGGATGATTACAGTGCACAATAACTTCCATCAGGGAGGTACTGCAGATTGACTTACATCTTCGATCTATAATTATATTGATAATTAATTGGTTTCCCACAAATATTGATGCTGACCACGCAAATGTATACCATATCGAGCCAGTCTCAGTGGTCATGGTCTCCGTGGCCATGACCGTTACTATGGTCATGTCCCTCGTGGCCAATCTCGAGCCAATCTTCGAATCCGTCCTCGAATAGTTCGTCCAACCTCTCCTGGATATCATCAGACTCCATCGCGGCCTCCCAATTGCGGAACTCTTCATCGTCTAAGAGACAGGCGTCGAGAGCCTTTCGCAAGCGCTTCTCGCCACCGTTCTTCATCTGCTGGCCGATAAAGACAAGTTCCTGTCGCCGATCTCCCCACTTTCCGTCGAAGTCGCGGGTTATCGCTTTTCTCGCCTCTGGATCTGAGGGCCATTCATCCTCCGGAATCTCGCAGCGCCAGCGGTCTTGTCCCGATATGGTCAGCATTACACCTGCTTGCGACCATTCGCCATACTGGGTGATAACTACGTTAACGTGGGAGTCTCAGCGGATCGCCAGGGAACTTACCATCCTAGGCCTAGTTGCTAACCACAGAAACCCCTTTGAGCGCAGCAGCGGCCCGAAAGTATCGTCTGCCATTTTCGAAGCCAATCGTGCTTTAGGGTCAAGTTGAGGTTGTTCGTCCTCCATATCGATGTCTTCGTCAGTCTCTTCGTCCTCATCCTCGTCCGCGTCCTCGTCTTCTCCAGCACCATCTGTCTCGTCGATATCCATGTCTTCTTCCATCTGGTACTCCGTCTGAATAACGACGAAGACCGACTTGATCATATCCCAGAGCCGCGCCGGGTGGAAGGGGCGGCGGGCTCGATAGACGAATGTGCCTATCCCGTATTCCTCCGTCTCAGGGCTGATCTCTTCATTCAGACTCTTCAGCCATCCGGCGCTGAGGGCCGCCTTTTCGTACGAGAATGAGCGAGTATCCAATATCTCACCTAGATCCAGTCGGCATTTGACAGTCGAAAACACCTTGGCGCTAGGGTTAAGCTTTTTAACAACCCCTTTAATCCGATTCGCTTCGTCCTTAGTAACTAGGTCGCACTTGTTGACTATCACGATGTCCGCGAATTCTACCTGATCAACCTGCAAATCTGAAATGTTCCTATCGTCCTCCTGCGGGACATCAGTTCGGCGGTCCACTAAGAAATCAGCCGTCGCAAAGTCTTGCATGAAATTTACGGCGTCCACGAGCGTGACGCAAGTGTCGAGACGCGCTACCTTGGAGAGCCCGCCGGATTTTAGGATTTTGGCGAGGTTTTTATTATTCCCTTTATTCCCTTGCTCCTCTGCCTCGAGGTCGTACCCCGCGGCAACATGCATGTCGGCAAACCTGATACACTCGGTTAATATAACTAAAGCTTCGTCGAGGTTACAAATAGTATATTGCACCTACTCCTCTGAAAACGTCTCGGCGACTTGCATTGGTTCGCTAACTCCAGAACTCTCGATGACGAGATACTCGACCTGCTTCTCTTCCGCAAACCTCGCAACCTCTTCGAGCAAGTCACCGCGTAAGGTACAGCAGATGCAGCCGTTCTGCATGGCCACTACTTGCTCTTCCTTACGAGTGACATCGTGCGAGGTGAGTAAGGCCGCGTCGATATTTAGCGCGCCAACATCGTTGACTATGACACCTATCCGGAGGCCATGTTCGGGAGATGTCAAAATATTTTCTAGAAGGGTTGTTTTGCCCGACCCGAGAAATCCGCTAAGAAGGGTAACTGGGAGCCGCCTTTCGGTCTTATTGGGGGTATCAACGAGGAGCGCGGGAGCCATTACACCGGATTTTATACGCGGTGCGTATAGGGGCGTTTATAGAGAGTTTTGTAAGGTAGGATAAATGTCAAGGTTTGGGATCTCGCGAATCTCTCTGCCTCCAAGGGGCCAGATCATTTATATCGTAATTTGCAATCCGTACTCGCGAGAATACAGGAGGGCTAGGGCAAACCGATAATACATCTATTGATCTATTATACGCGATTATTCGAGTGTTATTGCCTTTTCTGAACTGATGGGATAGCTCGTAGAAGAACCTTGTTGGCATTTTGGAGACAATCTACATGTATCGCAAGGAACGTCTCTCCAGATTATACCTCTTTTCCTATGTACATTTTGTCTCCTAGTCGCCCCGGCGTATACCTCGAAGAAGGTTGTCACTTTCATGTTATGAAGGATTGGTAATGTAGGGCTTCCGTATGGAGGACCTTGATGGTAATGTTCATGCAGGGACGTCAGCGAACCTTGATGGCTTGTGGGGGTTGTAGCTCGAAGTTGAGTAATTCGTACCATATGATTGGCACACGGAGGAAAAGCTTTATGATACGGGAGCCCATGTTGTGATTTTGGTACGCTGCGGTAGGGATACAACGTGACTCGTGAATACTCTTCCGGTTTGTACTCAGTCTACTAGTCGTGGGAATTCTGGAAACAAGAACTGTATTACAATGAACTAATATCAATCTCCTCTACAGCACGTAATTAATGGCATGTGTACAAACCAAGCTTGCTATCTAATGCTCTTATGTATTCCTGTGCTTCCTCGAAACGTCTTCCCTCAGATAAAGCTTAGCTTCCCCCTATCTACAGTACCTCAATTCCGAGTATTTGGTCCAATAAATGTTGGCGGGGTGTTAAAAACACCTTGCCCTGTTGGCGAATTCGTGCGTGGCTAGGCTTCCCGCCGGCAACTCGAGTAGCTCAGCGCATTGCGGCAGAAACTTAATCCACACGCAGCCATCAGGCACGTCTTGATCGCGGAATGCTTTTCCTACCACAAACTCCGGTTCTAGTTGGTAATACGGGATGTTCTGCTTGCAGGCTGGGAGTCGACTGCTGGGAACCGACAGTTCCACCATTGGATAAGGGGTTGGTCAGCGTGATGCCTGATGTGCCAATTCCTATATCAATACCGAGCCCAACAGCTTTGTCTATATCGTGTGGGTAGCGCATCGTGATGCCGTACGGGCTAAGGGGCGAGCTAGCATCAGTTAGGATGTTGTATGTTTGACGATAGACCTCATTGGCGGTGCCCTTCTGGCGGCTCAGCAGAGGCTTTGCTGACGCAAGTGATGCCGAAGCGGCAAGTATGGTCAAGGTATTGAAGAACATGACGATTAAGTCTTCTGCCGTTTTAGGAACTGTAAATTGCCTTACGAGATTGTATGTACTGGTGTGATGAGGGCAATGGGTGACGTTTCGCGGCAGGCTTGCTCTCTTTATATCGATTTGGACTCAGTCACATCTGCGTAATGGCACCATATGACTTCCTGAAGAAATACGAGCTTTTTCCTATTTAGTGCCGCTTTTGCCAAAGTAACCAGTCACCGATACACGTCTTTACTATCGCCCGTGATTTATTTGCCGATCAGGACCTATAGCGCGGATGACATAGTGCTCGATCTCTGATACGAGGCTTTCACAACCTACTGATCAGCTATTTATGATTTCAGAATCCTTAGTTTACCTTTATTTGGACTAGAGGTATCTATAGGATATATTGTAATACTACCAACGCTAAGGAACTTTATATCTATCACGAATCCGATGATATTCGCAACGAAGAACCAGAAGGGGCGGGAATTTTGGTAGCAAAACATAGGATTGATGCATAAGAATGGTAGATAAGTGTATATATCTCGACTGGGCTGCGTCTAGACCCTCTATCTAAGGGCACTAACCTTTATATATTAATACATATGGGTTATAGTACATATACTACGAAGATACTGATGCCCTTCGCAGCTAACAATCGGTTGCTGAAGAGATATAGAGCATGGCGTATTGACATAAATATATCTAGGAAATATAAATCTGGAAACCTACTTAGCCAGGAACCTCTGAAACGCCTCCTGTTCGATGACGACGTTGCCGACCGAGCGTAGCCTCTTGCGACCTTCTTTCTGCTTCTCCAGGAGTTTCCTGCGACGGGTAATGTCACTGGCGTGTAACTTGGCGAGCACATCCTTACGGAAGGGCTTGAGCGTCTCTCGAGCGATGATCTTCTTGCCGACCGCCGCCTGTATCACGACCTCAAACATTTGTCGCTGCACGTGCTCCTTGAACTTTGTCACCCACGCCCTGCCTAGCCGTTCTACCTGAGATAGGTGCACCACCCGCGAGATAGCGTCCACCGGCTGCTTATTAACTAATAGCTGCAACTTGACTAACTTGCTCTCGCGCCATCCGGCGTCCTCGTAATCTAGAGTCGCGTAGCCTTTAGTTGCGCCCTTAAGCTTGCCGAATAAATCGTCTACTAACTGCGCCGTAGGGATGCGGTACTTTAGGATGACCTGCATACCGTGAAAGAACTCGATGCTCTCCTGCTCGCCGCGGTTGGCTTCGCATAGTTCTATAGCGCGGCCAAGATATTCTTCTGGGACCGTCAGGGTTGCTAGCACGTAAGGTTCGTAAAAGGTGGCGCCACGGGTGCGCCCGTCGTCGGGATCCGGGAAGTCCGTGGGGCTCTGAAGGACTGTCTCCGTGCCGTCCCGCCACATAACTTTGGTCTGTACGGCAGGCTCCGTGATAATAATGCTTGCGCCGTGCTCTTGGCGGAGGCGGTCCTGAAATACGGAACAGTGTAGACTACCGAGAAAGCCGATCCGCCACCCCGCCCCAAGCGCCTCGGAGTGATCTTTGAAGAGGGTCACGCTGCGGTCGTTCAGCACGAGCTGGCCGATACTGTCTGCTAGGCGGCTGTAGTCGGCAGGGTCCGTAGGAAAAGCGGCGACGAAGACCATAGGTTTGGGCTCCTCGAAACCTGGATACGGTTCGACAATGTCTTCTGAGCCAACGGTGGTGAACGTATCGCCGATTTTGGCATCCTGGATTTTCTTCATGCCCGGATTAAAAAAGACGTAGCCGACCTGACCTGCGCGCAGGACCGTCTGAGGAACCTGTGTAGGATATCGAATACCGACCTCGCCGATGGTATATTTGTTCCCCGTCGCAAAACTCACGAGATTATCCCCGGCCCTCACGGTCCCGTCGAAAAGCCGGACTAGACATATAACGCCACGAAAGCTGTCGTACCACGAATCCACTAGCAGCATCCTTAGCGGTTTAGATTCGTCACCTGTAGGCGCCGGGACGTTCTCTACGACTGCCGGTAGTAACTCCTTGACGTTGAGGCCGGTCTTTGCGCTTACTCCGATGGCCTTGCTGGAATCTAACTCAAAAGTGGATTCGAGTTGTTCCAGCACTCTTGGAACGTCTGCGGCAACCATGTCGATCTTGTTGATAACCGGTAGGATCTTGAGGCCCTCGGCAAAGGCGAGATAAAAGTTGGCGACGGTCTGGGCTTGTACTCCTTGGCTCGCGTCGACCAACAGAATAGCGCCTCCGCAGCTCGCGTACGACCTTGTGACTTCGGCGCGGAAGTCGACGTGACCGGGCGTGTCGACGAGATGCAGCAGGTAATCGAGGCCACGATGATTGTAGATCATGGTGCAAGTTTGAGCTTTAACGGTGATGCCTCTCTCGCGCTCAACTTCGAGAGTATCGAGGATCTGGCGGTTTGTATTAGATGACGATATAGTGCCCGTGATTTCGAGTAGCCTGTCTGATAGAGTAGATTTCCCATGGTCGATATGCGCCACGATGCAAAAGTTTCGAAAGCGCTCGATAGGAATCGCAGCGATGCGGCGCTCGAGATCGCCCACTACTCCTGCTTTCGAACTACTATATCGTTGTAGGGTATTATACGTGCCTGGGCCGATAGTTGGCCGTCTTATCAATCCAGTCCGCCGTTGGAGTCGTAGCTTAGGGCCCAGAAAAGGCCATGTTGGCTGCGAGTAGGCGCCGGCGTTATAAGCCGTGCGAAGGGAAGATGAGCGGAGACATGATCGCATGAGAACGAACTCCAATGGAGACTTGAATCTACCACCCATCCATACGAATTGAGCTTTCTCGGCCTTGTCAACTTTGGATCATGACACGGAAGAGGGGTACTTGGATAAAAAACATTAGGTACCTATGAAGCTATTCCCGGCTGGTGGGATGTACATAGCAAAAATTCCCAAGCTCGAAGGATAGTTGGGACTTATCGATAAACATAATCTCTTATCTTATCACTATCTACATTAACGTTATGGTAGTTCGTCACCCCGCCAAAGTTTCTGAAAGTAAACAAACCACAACGCTTACAACCTCTAGACCCGAGTTCAAACTTAATAGTAACACGCACGACAGAGAATCTATCACAATGGCACCGACCGCGCCGGAAAAGGACAAGGACAAATCCAAGGTTCATAAATTGGCTCTCAAAGGAAGCGCCAAACTTGTGGCAGAATTCGTACGCAGAGGCTTTCCCACGAAGCAGAGATGAGCTAACAAACCCGTCTTCCAGTTCCAATACTCGATTCATACCATCCTGTACGTAACAAGGTTATCTCCATTCGATACCGTAATTTTTTATTAACCCTAGACTAGATTTCAAAGAGGCGTCTATCCGGCCGAAGATTTCACAGCGTATGTAATACTCCGACCTAGCCCGTCTCGCTTCTATCAGTCACGCAGACTAACGGAAACAGCGTCAAAAAATATGGTCTGAACATGCTAGTTTCTGCCGACGACCAAGTCAAGGCGTACATCAAGAAGATCATGTCCCAGCTCGACAAATGGATGCAGCGCGGCAAGATCAGCAAGCTGGTCATCGTCATCACCGACAAAGACACGGGCGAGCACGTCGAACGATGGCAGTTCGACGTCCACATATTCAATACCGGCAAATCTAAAAAGTCTAAGACATCTCCTAACCAAGAGAACGACGCGCCTCCGTCAGTCTCCAACACGGCCCTTCCCGATTCTTCGAAAACCGAGGCCGAGATCCAAGCCGAGATTGCCGCCCTCTTCCGCCAGATTACCGCCTCCGTTACGTTTTTACCTCAGCTGGCCGGCGACTGCACTTTCAACGTCCTAGTGTATGCCGATGCAGATAGCGACGTGCCCGTCGAATGGGGCGACAGCGACGCCAAGGAGATTGTCAACGGCGAGAGGGTGCAGTTGCGGGGATTCAGCACTACCAGCCACCGGGTTGAGACGTTAGTTAGCTATCGGTTAGGGGAATGAGCACGTGTCATGTGGCTTAATTGGGGATGGGATTATTGTACTATTGGGATTTGATGATTAAGAGACGTGGCGTTTGGAATTTGTCTGGTTGGGAATGCTGGTGCTATTATATCTAATTTACAACTTTACCATAAACGTATAAGTTTTGACATGGTTGTTTGATATGTGTTAACCCAGGTGACCTTAGACCAGATGGAGGCTGACCGCCCTTGCTTGCGCCACGCAATACATGGCTTATCTCGGTAAACCTAGACCATATTGTTCAAGATTTTATGTGAACTATGGTCTAAGTTTACTGCAAAGATAATGGAGTTGTGCGGGAAAAAACATAGGTAATAAAAGACTGACTTTTACTGAGGGAATTAAGGCTGAGTTGTGTTATACAATAATCCTTTACGATATAACATCCTTATACCCCTCATATATTTATTAGATCGAGAGGCAGTTATTAAGCTAACCCGTCCAACACTCGTACACTAAAGTGGAAAAGGAGTCTTCGGTCACCACGTCAAACGAGTTGAGATTAGGTGCCAATTCTTTCATCAGCCGGGCAGCATTTACTGCCTGGCTATTAGCATTGCCGGATGCTGGCGGCACCAATCTCCCTAGCACAAGATCCCGCAACACAGGAAAGAATACACCGCTTCCTTCAAGATTTTGCAAGGCATAAGATCCCCAGAGCTCGCAGTCTGCCATATGGCTACCGCAGTTTCGGCCAAGTTCGATAAGTGCGGCCTCCGTCAACGAGCACTCGAATGCAAGATGCAGGATTTTGAGGTCAGGCAAAGCCTCGGAAATCAGGGACATGTGGTCGCTTTCCAGGTCGGGAGCTCGTACACGGCCTGATATTTCTAGTTGCTGAAGGTGCGGAAGTCCTTGTGCGAGATGGACTAGCTCGCTAGGGCTGATAAACACTTGCTCCATCACCGAGCATTCTAGCTTGAGAATACGTAAATGTGGACTGGAGGCGGGTATGGCTTGAAGTAAGGTATGCGATCCGGTCGAATTTGCCCCGTCACTTATAATGGTAGCCTCTAGGTGGGCGAGTTGGCGTAAGTGAGGTAGAAGCCGAACGAACCCGTCAAAAGTTGCCGTGCAAACGAGCTTTTCGAGACGGGGAAATAGCCGCGCTTCACCATGTTGATTGATCTGCTGTCTTTCGGCCAAGGATATGAGCTCTGCAGTTATCGTGTGCTGAGATTGGAGCGACTGCAGATCAGAGCGGGTGGCGAGAGCGACGAAAACGTCGTCATTAGCAACCCGATCCATGCCGTACATGATTGTTAATCTCTTCAAACAATTGGCGCCTTTAAGGAAGTTCAGGAACCCCTCTGGGGATATTAAGTTGCGCGGATTGTCAATTAGAAGCTCCTCCAGCTGTGGACAAGATTCCTAGTGTGCGAGCTTCGTTAGCAGATGATCTCGTCTCGGTGAGTTCAAGGAAATACACCATGGGTTCTACTCTGATAAGTACTCGGGATGACAGACGGGCCTACCTGAAGCGTCTCCAAAAACCGATCAGAAATCGGTCCTCCGAAGAAAATGAAAGCTTTCAGAGCATATTGGAGATAGGGCTTCAACAAATGCTCCTCATTCTGATCCGACGCATCAAGTACAAGGCGCTCCAGAGTCTGAAACTTGGTGTCTCGGAAGGCAGCATGATACGTGGAATCGCCGGCAGCAAACTCCAAGCTTCGAAGGCTCTTAGCACGAAGCTGGAGTTGCTGCGGATCCTGTTCAGCTAAGAGGGCAAGGGCAGAGACGGATATTCTGTCTTCCGCCATGACTATTCAGTTGTCTAGATTTTAAGGGGTTTCTAGGGATCCGGGTCGGAGTAGCTGCCGAGTTTTTGATAAAGAATCAATCTTAAGGGGGATGATGGATGATGGATAGGTGTAGAGAAAGAAGTTGTTTGCTGTAGTTGGAATGAGTAGACTGGCGTGTCACCCTACTAATTGTATCCATAATCGCAATTTATTGCCGTAAGGTAGTAAGGCATGGAGTGTAGGACAGTGCCTAGTCTTGGCTACCTAGGTATGTAAGGGTGGCGCCGTTCGGTAGAGCTACTATTTTACTTCTCTAGGATGTTCAGCTAAGCCTGCTCTTCGGATACCTACCTACCTAAGTAGATTTATATTGATCGAATGTAGTCCACATCAGCTGGTATTACTATACTTGACATCACATATGTGCCATTTATTCGATAATGACCCACAGCGGTATTTTAATAGGACAGAGAAGAGTCATTCTGACAGGCTGTGATACTTAATATGTGATATATTTAATATGATATTAAGCTGAAGCTTTAAAGCAGCACTCTTTAAACGTTGATAGGATTATACAGCACCGAGTACGCGAGAAGTAGGTCTATTAACCCCCAGTTCGATATATATCCAACTTCAGTCCAGCCTACATAGTTGGATATAAAAAGGCCTCTCAACCTCGTCTCAGATGTCTCCAAAATCCAGCTTCCAGACAGATCTAGGGTTAATCAAAACCGGCTTCAATATTACATCACTATGCGATTCTCATTCGTTATCCTGTGTGCAGCCATAGGGTCTGTACAGGCCATCTCTTTCGACCATGAATCTTTAAACCAAAGAACGACTCCCAACCAAGAGATTGGCGATTACAAAGAACTTTTACCAAGGAGAGGCTGCTCTGGGGCCCGAAAACCAGAAGAAATGTGCACGGGAAGTTTCCTTGCACAGATGAACTCTTTTCACAACTGGTGGGTGCAAGAAAATATTCAAGCTAGCAGCGAGAAGTAACTAACTTTAGCTTCATAGTAAAACAAATAGGGGTGGTAAATGCTGTGCATTGAATAGGGACGGCTCGGGGGGCATTGATACCAATAAAGCCAGCGGAGAGAACTGTGGATATTGCTTCAGTGGCAGGTGTACGGCCTAGAAAAATGGAATGAAGGAGACGGAGGTTTTGATATTGAACAGATTAAAAGGTCAACGGAATATTGGCTGACACTGGTTTTTGGACCTGCTGCTTATTTTATTTCATAACTGGATAGGTACCTACCTGTCACGAGGTTGAACTAAACAGTATGGAAACAACTTCGTTGTTCCGCAAGGAACTCTAATCTATCTGGTGAGCTTACGGTTTGTATATACATACATGTTCTTTTTCCTAGATGTCTCATCTAGAATCCTGACACTACCTAGTTAAATAACGTTCGTTTAAGTTAAATACTTATTTTCTTGCAAATCGAGAAGTTGTACTATATGTTCGCCGCTTTAAAAATTAAATAACCTTTATTAAATTTAACGTTTAATATACCATGCGTAATCCACTTGTTAATTAAACCCACATTAAGCCACCCTTTTTTTATTAAAAATCATTTATTATATAAAATTATAATTAAATCATATAAAATTATAAAAATATAAAAATAATTATATTTAATAAAAATTTAATTAATTAAATTATATATTTATTTAAAGGTTTAATAAACCTTTTAAATTTTATTATAAAAAGTAATAAAATAATTAAATTTATTTTATTTTTTTCTTTATTTTTTTTTTTTTTTTAAATTATTATTTATAATTATAATTATTTTATTTATAATTAAATTAAATTTTATTATTAATTAAAAAATTAAATTAATATTATTATTAAAAATTTTATTTATATTTAAAAATTTTTAATTAAAATTAAAGATTTTATAATGTTATTTAAATTTAACTTTTTTTAATTAAATTTTTAATAATTTAATATATTTATTTTATAAAATTAATTTTAATTTAATTTTAATAAAAGTTTTAAAAATAATTTTTATAATTAATTTAATAAACGGAAATTTATTTAAATTATATTTTTTAATTTAATATATTATATTTAACGATTAAATTTAACATATTAAAATGGTTTTATTATTTAAATTAATATTTAATTTAATATATAAATTAACTTTTTTTTTAATTTTTAAACGGTTTTTTAAAATTTTAAAATAAAATAAAGTTTTAATTTAATTAATAAATTAATTTTTTATTATTTTAAAATTTATTTTAACGTTTTTTATATTAAAAATATTATATTTAATTTTATTATAATATTTAATAAATTTAAATTTATTTATAAATGTTAAATTAAATAAAAAATTTAATAAAAATAAATATTTATAATAAAAAATTTTAAAAATATTAAAAAATTTATTATTTAAAAATTAAAAGTTATAAAATATATAAATAAAAAGGAAATAAAAAATAATATTATAATAATAATAAAAAATTATAAATTTATTTTATTAAATAATTAAATTAATTATAATTAATAATTAAAAATTTAATAA